AATCATCTCATTGATTTTTGGGTCGGACTTGCTCTTCATCTTTATAATTTGTAATATTTCTCTGTCGGTCATAAGCATTTGATTGTTATCTTCTTCTTCACTGTTGTTCTCTTCATCTTGTTCCAGCAATTCTTCTTCTTCAAACCATTTATCAATAATCTCTAATTCATCAATAAATGCATCAGCAGGCAAATTTTCGGGTTTTAGTAGCTGTCCAAATGTGAGCTTTGTTCCTTCAGCTGGGACTAAATCCGGTCTCCGAGATAACACATCTGGCTTGGTGGATTGTCTACCTGGTCGAAATCTAATTTCAAAATCAAAGCTGCCAAGAATTTCGGCCCACCTTGCTTGCCGCCGTGTCAGTTCTTTGGTTGTCATCAAGGATTGTAAATTCTTATGATCACTATACACAATAACATTGAGGCGGTTTGGATTCCCCTCGAGATACTGTCGCCATTCTTTGAAAGATGCTACTACTGCCAATAATTCCTTGTCGAATATTTCATAGTTCCGCTCTGCCTGAATCAGAGATCTTGATAAGTATGCAATAGGATGTAGTTCATTGTCATCATCAGACACTTGAGAAAGTACCGCTCCTAGCGCATAGTCAGAGCAATCACATTCCAATACAAAAGCTTTGTATGGATCCGCAATTTTCAATACCGGGGCGGTGGTGAACGCAGTCTTGAGTGTTTCGAATGCTCTCTGACGTTGTTCATTCCATTCAAACGCAACATTCTTTTGTGACAGCTCGTGCAGTGGTCGTGCGATCTTTGAGAACTGATCAATGAATCTTCTGTAAAAATTTGCAAATCCCAAAAAGGTCTGTACTTCAGATAAATTTTTTGGGGTTGGCCAGTCTTTTACTGCTTTGACTTTGCTTTCATCCATCCTAATTTGATTCTTTGAGATGATTAATCCTAAATACGAAATTTCTTTCTTTGAGAATTTACATTTTTCAGGTTTTAACCATACATTTTGACGTCTTAATATTTCCAAAACTTCTTTCACGACCTCTTGATGATTAACTCCTGGACCGGTGTAGATTAATATGTCATCCTGATACGCAGCCACATTTCGGCCTATATGAGCTTTCAGTATATCTTGAATGAAGTACTGAAAAAATCCAGGCGCTCCCGTTGGTCCAAAGGGCATTGTTCGCGGTTCAAATTGGCCAGATTTACATATAAATGCTAGTTTTGCTTCGTCGCCTTCCCTGACCCTTAGATTATTATACCCATTCCTCATATCTAAACTCGTGAATTCATCTGCATTTAGTAGGCTATCTATTAGTTCCATTGTCAGTGGAAGGGGGTATTTGTTCTTTACAGTTACGGCATTGAGTCGTCTGTAATCGAAACAGGGTCGTAAATTTCCGTCTTTCTTGCCGGTAAATAAGACAGGAGCTGCCCAAGGAGAAGTTGTACGGCGAATTGTTCCATTTTTCAGTCCTTTTTCAAGCATCTCATTAAGCACTTCAGTTTCTTTTGGTGATAAAGGAATAACTTTTCCTGCTTGTGGCGATGCTCCAGGTATCAAATCAACTCTGAAATCATATGGGCGATGAGGTGGTAAAACGTCAGAATTGCTCTTTTCGAACATAGGTAAATAGTCGTGATAGCATTCGGGTACGAGTTCAGCCGCGTTCTTAGTAGGTGAGTCCTTCACTTGATCTGCTGCTATCTTCGCAGACAGGTTCCATGACGTTTTCATTACATCAATCATTGATTTTGTCGGTTGTTGTAAAGTTCGTAGTTGATCCATCACTTTGTTTTGACGATTTAGGCTTGAGTTGAGTCGTTGGATAGCATGCTGTGGTTGAAAAGAAAAACGCTTGCCAGCATGTTCATTCACATTTGAGATTGAAGAATGTTTACACGTACTCTGCGGGGGCTGTGACGAACTCAACTTGAATTCAACCCCCTTGTCATGGTGCCTAGCTTGCCTCGTAGGATCCCGTCTTTCGTGGTCCTCCAAGGGGTTTTTCGGCACCAACAAAGCTGCCTTACGGTCAGCTGCAGTTTCATTTCGTTTCTCTTGTTCCGGCAGTTGAATGTGTTCGTTCGAATTCGTGTGTGTTAAGTTTTCTACATGATGTAATGGCTTGCTAGCTGCTTCTTTTTCGTCATTTGAATAATTAGAAATATACGCACATTGCGGGGGTGTTAATGAGTTTTCAGGCTCCACCCCCTCGTCAAGATTCCTAGCATGCCTCATAGGCTTCTCCTTGTGGTTCCTCGAGGCTTTGTCCGGTCTTGACGAAGTTGATTCTACAACTGCAATGAGTGAATGATTTTCCTTGAGTTGACCGTTTTTCCAATCAATCTTTTCAAAATTTTGTCGTATCCAAGGCATTCCAAGAATTATGTCGTACTTGTCGCGCAATTCAGTGATTATGAAGGTGGTTGGTGTTGATTCAATGGAGTTGACACAGAGGTCAACAGTATGGGTGATTCTTGACTCGTGACCACTAAAACCAGTTACACTTCTGGTTTGAGGTAATGGGTCCGTCTTGAACTTGTTGGCAGAGACAAACCGGTGGCTCATTGCTTCATGTGTAGCACCGCTGTCTACTAAGGCTCTCGCAACAATGGGGGTGGCACTCTTAACTTCGAAAATAGTAACAAAATCAATGATTCGCGTATCTTTTATTTCAAGTGAATTTAAGCTACTACAATCTTCAGTTAAGTAATTACCGCTCGAGTGTGGCACCACTAGCACTCCCGAGCGCCTCCATTTTTTGAGGCTTCAGCTCTTCCATCGTCCTTCTCTTCTTCCTTGACACCATCCACTTCAGCAACTTTACTTTTGAATTTCCCATAACCTCCATATCCTCCTCTACCTCTCCAACCTCCTCTACCTCCACGTCTTTTTCTAGTTGGACAGTCTCTAATAAAATGATCATCTTTACCACAACTATAACACATTCCCATTGCTCCTCTCTTGTTATACTCCTCATTTGATATGTTAACACAATAAGCCGAACAATCCATTGCATCTGGATCAGTAATAGTGGTTGAGGTTGAAGTTGTGTTGGTCGAAACAATTGGGTGGTGCGTGTTGGAGTCTCTTTTATTAATTTCATTATCAAGTTTAATAGCTAACTTTGCCATTTCTTCAACTTCCTTGAATTCGTCCCGTACCATATGCACCGTGATTTCTTTCTTTAATCCTTGCTTAAATTGAGATAGTAATACATTCTCAGGCCATTTAACTATCAACGCTAATTCCGAAAACTTAATCCAATAATCTACCACTGCCTTTGTTTGAGTTAACGCCCTCATTTCTTTTTCTGCTTTAGCCAATCTTTCAGAGTCAAAGAACGTTGCTTTAAATGATTCAATGAATTTTTTCCAAGTAACTTGTTTCATTTTATCTTGGTCGAGTAGTTGATTGGTAAAATTTTGGCTCCAAATACTGGCTTTCCCATCAAGGTAAGATAACGCGAACGCAACTTGAGCTTGTTCGTTCACAAATGCAGCAGCATTCATTTGCATATATAAGCAGACCTGATTAACATAAACTTCGGCTTTCTGTCCTTTAGTACCATCATATTTATTCGGAGTGGCGATCTTAGGAGGCTTTATTTGACTAATCGTTTGCGGAACAGAGGTCTGAGCGATCGGGGCGGAGCTGTGAGGTAGTTGAGTGGAGGTAGTGCGGGTTGTTTCAAATTGACGTAGTCGTTGTTCTGCTTCGTCACTTCTTCTCTCAGCTTCTTCTCGTTTCTGCGATTCTTCAGCTAAGCTTGCTTTGACCTCTAAGAATTGAGTGTTTAATTCTCTCATTTGCCGTAAAATCTCGGCCATAGAGGGCTGTTTGTGTTCTGGATTCATTGCGGTCTCTTCTGTCTCGTAGAATTCTTTTTCCGATGACTCCGAGTCCGTTGAGTTAGAGGGAAGCTTAAAGTTTGGCGTTTTGGAAGGATGCAGTGGTGTTCGAGATTATGCGGGGTATAAGTTATCTTCTTTAAATGTTACTTTTTAATTTAACTTTATTAACTTTGAAAATCTTTCTTCTTAACTTCTTTTAACTTTCTTCTTAATCGTTCGTTTTGATTTCTTCTTACTTTCGGTGATTCTTCTCTTGGATCTCTTTTGATGAGACTTAGCAATATGTTGTAGCTTCGAGAGGGAGATGCAAGAGAAGCTTTAAGGGTGGTCTCGTGAATATAGTAGATTGCTAAGTGAGGAAAAGCAATATGCACAACGGGAGACAAGACTAGTATGAACTCTACATGTAACACGCGTGACAGGTCATAACATGCATTGCTCAAATTGCCATTGAAGCTATGGCTATGACAAAATCTAACAAAGATGTATGCTCCACTCTGCTAAAACATGGTCGGGGGAAGAGGACAACTTACAAGCACCGACTGTTTCATGGGAGTATGGTGGGTACATGGAACTAAGCAATGCGCAAAACTCCCAGGAGTTGGGAAGATAATATTGATTGTTTCTTGTTGTACCTCTTGCATTGAATGGGCAATTCCACACTTCTTTCCTTAATGTACACCAAGCATATACCAAACTGACCAAACCAAAACAGCACTGCTTTGCAGGCTTGAAGTCAACAAGGACTCAAACCCTCAATGTCAGTGGGGGGCAGTGCACCTGAACGTGTGTGCAAGAACCACCTTGGAAGCACATTAACACTCACTTCTCATCAGCTGATGGAGCATGATCCCATGAAGACAGGTAGCAGCATGTGCACCAGACCACTATCCCTGAGGACATTTTCTGACATCACAGGCATGATTGAGCCTGAAACCCAACTAAAGAAAGGCAGGTCTTGGATCACAGGTTTTGTTTGCAAAATATCTGCCATAAGTTTGCAGGAACCCCTTGTACTGCATTTTGAACCAAGCAACACCACCATGTTTGTCAGCGAATCAGCCCACATTTCCTGGTGGTCTCTTGCTGATGAGAATCCATTAGAAACCTTTTTTAATTTATCATTTTCTATTAATGGCATCTTGAGCTGGATACCTACTGGGCACTATGTGTAAATATTGGATGGAAGCTACACCAAAACCCTTGTCTTTAATTTTGTCTAGTCAGTATGTTGTCTTATTGACAATTGCATATCAAGTATTATATTTGGACTTCTCCTAAATAACACAATATTCAGTGAGAGTGGTGTCACCTGTGATATGATTGAACAACTCTGAAGAGGAAGGGAATAAAGCTAAATAGTATTAGAATCAGAAGACAAAGACAAAGAAGAACAATAAATATCTTGGTCTTACAAAACCTGTAAAGCAAAGAACATGTTGAGAACAATGAGACAGCCACAAAGCTTCAGAAAGGCATGCTTCTCTATTGTCAAAGTCACCGTAGATATCTTCCTACTCCCCCCAGATATAGTGGAAGAGAAATAAGTGAACAGGGGACCTATTATAGAACAGCACCAATATAAAATTTAACATCTGCATAACCAACAACTCATAAAACTCCTCAGTATGGTGGTGAAATATGTTGAGAACATTTGACTGCAATTTACATTGGTATTGGGCAATCTGCCAGAAATAAAACATTACACAGGAGATGTGATTGTGACATCTATCAAGGATTGTGTGGATTTATCAAGCCCCGGGTCACAAATCCGGCGAGAGCGATTCCGGGGTAAAGATCAGGTCGGTTGTAGCATGTCCGGATATTCAGTTTGATTCGATCAAATTTGTTGCTGAGCCTGTTTACCTTGCAGACCACCGATCAAAGGTGAATTCCTTCAACTGACTTACTTTATATGACTAAACCTTCAAGATGGATATCTCGACTTTACTCTCTCATCTTGCTATTCTTTATCCTTCTCCAACTACGCCTATCAACCTCTTCCCTTCTCAAACTCAACAGGCTCAGTCACAGAAGGCCATTTATGATTTCATGGCCGAGCCATCTGCCTGGTCGTTGGCAGGCCAGATATTGGACTCCCTAGGAACAGCTGATTGGGCAGAGGTACATAATTTGTTTAACCAGAAATACGTAGCTTCATCACTATCACTCGGACTAACAACATGTTTGATCTCAGGATACAAATACACGCTTCATCGCAGCTCACACCCTTGCTGTCAAAATCTCGAGAGATTGGGATAGTCTTCCGAGCGATCAATATCTATCTCTCAAAGAACGTCTGCTTCACTGGCTACATCAGAGCGCCCAACGCGCTTCGCCGTCTTCGTCTCATGACCCAACTCGCAAATCCCACACCTCCGCCGACGTAATTGTCTTACGAAAATTGGCAGTCGCAGTTGAGTGATGTGATCAAGTTGATCCTTTCGTAAGTTCCCGAAATCCTTTGTGGCTTTAATTCACGTGAATGAAACGCCGTTTAGGTCTCTGCTCTATCATTGAAGCTCGTACCCAGCCCATTGAAATGTTGGGACCATTGGCTTTTGGAGACGATCACAAGAATATCAAGCTCGGGCCAATGTATCAATTCACTTCTGGTCGTTCTGACTATTGTTGCTGAAGAAGCAGCTCGTGCAGACTTAATCGGACCTCTTAGGTTAGCATCTTTTTCTGTTGTGCTCATTTGTGATTGGCTTTTCAGCGAGTCTGACATTCCTGACTTTCCTAAACCCTTCAGAGTCCAGTATGACAAATCAATCCAAGACGGGGGCTCTCTGGTGATCAGAACACTTGTGGATGCATTAACATCTGATGGCTCAAGTACCAAGATATCTGCTTTGACGTGCAGTCAGGCTTGGCTGTCTGCTTCGCATCTCAATATCGAAGGTCCTATGTCGCTATGGCCAATCCTGCTCGATCTACTTACAAAATCGGTTTACTTGTTGGCCTACGTTAGTGATGATGGTGCAGATCATTTGCCCAGTGAAGAAGAAGACATCATCCAAAAGACAGCAGAATGCATCGAAGAACTTGTGTCCTCCAGCAATGGGGGACTCAATTGTGGAGGTGGGTTTGTCACTAGCACGCGTGTGGTACCGCTATTGGACTGGTATGCTGGCGATCTTGTGGGTACACTGATAGAAAAAGCCGTCATGAGTAGGTTAAATTCACCCCTGGGGCTCGTCATATTCTCCAATATCTGATTAATCTACTTTCCTTGGATTTTTGACGGGTAGCACAAGACGTCCCCGATGCGATCTTGGCCATATTCAAATTATTTGTTTCACTTGCAGAGCATTCAATATCTCACATCGCCGCTACTATATCTTCTTCCAGGAGCTTGATTTTATTGCGACGGCTTTTGAGAATCACACTATTTCCTGGATTTTATGGAGTCGATGAGCAAGTATCGGCCTTACCATTACCGATCTGGACACTTTTGCAAGAAGAGATCACGGACATGGGATATCTAGGTAATATGGAAGAGACTTTCCAAGACACTTTGGAACGGCCTCACGATCTGATAGAGAGCAACAAGAAGCACAAATCATTGTCCAATGAAATCTTCAAGGCTTTAACCGAAGGCTTGAAGGTCAAATCAAGTTGGCCGAAGCAGGGTGAACTGTCTTCTCTCTGGACTAAGGACAGGGTGGCAGCTTTTCAAAACCAGATTCGCGTGGACATTGGGGAGGCTTTGCTAGCTTGTTATTACGTAAGGCGAGATGAAATGTTGGCTGATCTAACTGCCGAGGTGAAGTACCTTGTCGATAAGCCTCAAGCATTTGGCGAGAACTATGAGGTACATCTTTGAATCTTTTGCTGCGTTTCTCTCACGTCCTTCGAATTCACAAAAACCTGTTAAACTGACCAATCTGCATGACTACCCCCTTGACTTGCAACGGCTGACTTTGCTCCCTTTTTTGTGACTTGATTACTCAAAATGACTGTGTGGCGTACCCAACATCTGATCCATACTTGACGTCTATACAAGGATCTAGAAGCGTGCTTGTTCTGTCTTCGAGCCATACAAGAGGGGATCCCACTAGAAGAATCAACTTGTCTCCCAGCTCTTCTCAGCTCTGACGTACTCCTCAAACTGCCAAAAGGAGACTCTGGCGCATTTGCCAGATTAACCAGCACGTGCTTGGTTCTCATAGGTATGCTGTTCATGCGAGGCATGAAGTGCGGGTGTCGAGAATTTATACATATATCACTTCATCCCCCGTTGCGTTGCTTTCACAGGAGGATTTTCTGAGTGGCTAAAGCAGCGTCCTGAGCAGCTCTCGACGTGCCTCAATTGGGTAGCCCCCTCGCTCAGCTCGTGCGACGTTGATATAGTCTCTTTGGCAGCCACTGCTTTTCGACGGCTCTGTCACGAGGGGCGCAAAACCCTGGTCAACGATATCGCATCTTTGGCTCAATTAATCCGATCGACTGAGGGGAGGATCCCGGTGCGCTGAGAGCCTGCTCTGTCACACGGCGACGAGAGGGTGATAGTGCTCAGTTGACTGACATGAATACAATTTTCTGCTACAACTAGGCGGACGAATATAACAAAGTACTTCAGTCCGTCGCTAGCGTCCTGCAAGCCTTGCCACCGATCTCGCTGGTAGAGCCACTCTTGAGTTTGTTGGGTCCGGTCATCACCCGGCTTAACCAGGTCACGCGACTTTATTCCGAAGTAAGAAACTGATCTCCGTATGTTGTCATTTGTTGCTTGTCACCGGTGTTCTTATGAGACCTTGTTCTTCTTTATCCTACTGATCTCCCATCCTGCCACTAGACGCATGATGCGGAACATCGGGTGGTGATCATTGATCAATTGAGACAGCTGAAGGCCGCAAACTCTGGGCTTTCAGAGCCAGACGAAGGGCTCATTCTATTGGACCTAGACGAGAGTAATCCTGAGCAAACCAAAGCTAATGAGCTAGCGTCACTTGGGCCAATCCAATCCTTGAGGTCAAGTCTTGCGGATCTAATTTGTAAGATCATTAGGCTTTCAGTAGGCGACGTGGATTTGGCAATTGTGTGTTTCAATTTTGTCGATACTCCAATCATTCTGCCTCACCCTTGACCTATCTTGTTTGGATTTGATAAAACCTGACAGGATGTAACCGAATTGTTGCGTACCTGCACATCCCATGGTATTCCGACGGCTATGTCCCTCGACCCATTCCCGATCCTAATCAGCTGCGTGTCAAACCTCTCAAATGATCGAATGAATCTTGCCATATGGTTCTCCCTCTCGACTTCTCTCATGCTGGCCATATCAAGATCAACCGGTCGAAAGATACCACCCGAAAACCTTGCAATGATTGTGGAGTGCGTCAAAGAGTCTGTTCGGATCGCGACGGAAGCGTTGAGCTCGGACGCAGCGATGAAACATCACCCGGATATAGTGCAGACATTTTTACAATTTTGTGTTGCAGTGAGTTAAAAGTAGCAGTATGGGGTAAGAGAGCAAATCTGTTGTGCTCATCACTGCCCTCTTTTGTTGATCAGGTCACGGAATCGTATATTGGTGTCTTTGACAACCTTCACGACGAGCTTCAATCAATTGTGATGATAGCAATCCGGGGTTTGAGAATTGAAGAGAGAATCGCTTTACAAGCCGCCCTTGATATCTTAGTATGTCACCTAATTCAGACTACCTCTCTGTGCTGTGAATGTTTGCATCGTTGATGGAATCAGAAAACCTAATCATTCAGAAAAGCTTTGCACAACACACTCGGGCCAATGCAAATCCAGCCCAATCAGAACTTTTTGTTCAGCTCTTAACGGCCCACAGTTACGATATCCTCAATGGCATTGTCTTTGGTATCGGGGGTGGATTACCCAGAAGCGCTCTGCCGGCTCTGGCTGAAACTATCCACTGCTTTTTCATCCGACTACCGGAGACGAGTCGAGCATGCCTGACAAAGCTTTTTGAAATGGTCAGTCAGGTTATCTGCTAGTCTCCTTGAACTATCAAGTATTCTGCAAAAACTTATGTTATCGTCCCTTCAAGCCTGGGTACCCTAGTGACAAGGTCAATCAAGAACGCAAGACGAAATTTCTACAGGGCTTGTGCAGGTTCGTTGATCAAACGATGCTCTGCAATCCTTAAACGACAATCGTAATAACTTTCAAATATGTTTCTTTAATGCTGAAAACCTGACACCAAACTTAAAGCGCTCGCACCTTGAAGAAGGCTCGTGATCTATGCACAGAATTTGCAATCTTATCAAGAGGCTTAGAGGGAACAGCGTATGGAGCCAGTCAATTGCACTTATCTTTCAATTGATCATGTGCAAATTCACCTGCTTTGTCATCACATGGTTGTATGTCCATAAGCCAATGCTCTGTTTTACTCTTGAACGTGGTGATTGATATATGGTTGACCAACCCCATCATGGCAAGATTGCTTCGGATGTGCCACTGTGCGCTGACCACAAGCAGCTTGCTAGTTGCCGATGTAGTTGATACTTAGATCAGATTAATTCTGATGTCTTCGAAATAAGACAACTGAGTGGGAGAATCTCACTGTTTCGATCCAGTCAGAAATCCGTTGCTCTTTACAATCCATGGTGAATCCAGTGATACATCAAAAGATATAAAAGCTGATTGGAAACTCCAAAACCTGATGAGATCCTCCTGGGGATCTAGTCACAGTTCAACAAGTGGAAGGTGAGATCAGTGTTTAAACTTCAGGGTATGTTATCAGCTGTAGGGTTCAAGTTGGCCTAAAAGTGCCAATGATTATGTACCTTGGCCACCCAGCCCTTCAAAATCTTTTTTAGAAACATAGGGATGTGCTTGCCAGGTGGGACTTTCTGATAGTTGTTTCAAAACTTAGAATCTTGGGGCAGAATTTTGATATGGGAAGAGTTGTATTTCAGGCATTTTTCAACTTGCTATTGTGTGCTTAAGCCTTGAGTGAACTCAGGATCATAAAACTCCAGTCAATCAAAATCAAAAACAGGTATATAGTTTACAGAAACCAATGGCCCCCCACCCAGTGTAACAGCCTCAAAGGTAGGTTATGAATTTTTGAACCCATCTTGCATGATGCTTACAACAGAATGAGAAACACAAAATTAATCTTTTCATGATTTAAGACATACATTTTCAACCCCTTTGACAGAATTCTTGGCATATCATGACAAACCTTGAGAGTAGACCTTCACCCTGATTGGATGTCTAGAAGCATTGTATAAAGCTTTCTGAAAAAGGGCAACCCTTTCTCACCTCAGTTCTCTTTTGTGGAATTTTGAGGCTCCTATGGGTAGTCTTACTGCTCAATCCTAGCTTGATTCTGTTCAGAAGTGGTCTGTCAGGAGGTTTGCCTGAGAAAAAATAACTTTCTAAATTATAATACTGCCACTTCAAGTTCTTTCATCATGTATCCTTCTCCATCTTGCTTTTGCATTCAGAGAAATTGTCATCAAATCTTACATTGTAAATAGATCCTGCTTCTCTCAAGTTATGATTTCAGATACAAAACTTTGTCTTCTAAATCCCATGCAGTCACCATTATTGGTATGAGATACTGTCATACTCATATCTGACTCACATCCCTTTCAGTATGTAGCCTGAGTGCTTGGCCAACCAGTCTCACTGAACACTGGCTCATGAGTGCAATGTCGATTATGAAGACAATTTTGAACCGGTATCTTTAATATCCCATGGTAATTGGAGCCCATATGAAGCCCAACATTTGGCTATGATGACGCCAAAGCTCACCAAAGGCAGACACTGTTTGCTGTGATGTTTGCTTGCAACAATGTTTCACAGGTAGAACATTGGTTCTCAACAAGATGATTTATGAAGAGCTGAGTGAACCAAATACCCTGAAGAATTTATGAAGAGAAAGCTGATATTGATAATTTGGGTAGTATAGTCTTAGACAAGGCAAAGCAAGCTATTAATTTCTTCAAAGGAGATCTTCTTAGAAAGGATATCAGGGAGATGAAGGTTATGGTACACAAGAAGTGGAAATGAAAGATTTTGAAGAAAGAATTTAGAGCTAGATACCCGTCTCCAACATTTTCTTCCCAGCCCTAGTTTCCTTTGGTTCTTTCTTACTTGTCTTCTATTCTTGGCTCTTATCTTACTCCATTTCCATTTGCTTGGCTTCAGGTCAGTCTTCCTCCCTGATTATCCTCTCTTCCTTGTGCTTCTTCTCCATGCTCTCCACTTCCTCCATGCTCTCCTTTTCCTCCCTGCTTCCTTCTTATTCTTTCTTGGCTTCTTCTTTCTTACTCAATTCTACTTCTGATTGTTGATTCCCACCTAATTTTGTAGCCCCCTTCTTATTTCTTGCTCTTATCCTGATTACCCCTACTTGTTTCTCTATATTCTCTGATTTCTTCTTCAACTCCCTTGTTCTCACTTGGTTTGCTTGTTCTAGTGGTGTGTCTGCTGGTGTTTCTATACCAATCTCTTATCCTTGTTCGTTTTTGCCTTCTCCTTGACTGCCTCCTTCCTTGCCTTCTCCTTTCAATTTGTCATCAAATTTGTTGGTGAAATACTTCTTGCTCAGTTGTAAGTTGATTAATTCATTTTCTGAACTTCAAATTTTAGTTTCTACAATGTATGATTGTATTGAATTGGTATTTATAGACTTGAGGTGTTTTTGAATAGATACTAAATTTGCAAACTTTTAGGCAAGAGATAAGAGACCTGTGAGGTGAGAAGAGCAGTGGCTTTGAGACTAGTTAAATACAGGAGGAACCAATGTCATAATTGTGTATCCTTCTCTGAACCAGTCTTGCCTAAGCCTTATGTTTTGGGTCAAGTGTTGAGCGTGGCGCCTGCATGGGCACATAATTTTTTCTCTCAATCACTGTGTCTGTGTAGGGTTTGCTCGTTGACAAGCCCACACCAACTCCCTTTGAGGCAGAAAGGGAAGACATGTGTGCTCATCAACAAGCAAACACTACCCGGACATGGTGAATGGGGGGCACCCATGTCTTCAAATCATCTCAAAAGGCATCAATATGTGGTATTGGTACCACCACACGCCATATTCTTCAGTCTTCTTCAGTCATTGAAGAACCTACAGTCTGGGTTAAAAAGCACTACAACAACAAAATCTTGGAATCCGAAGCTGATAGCAACACATTTTCATGGATGTTATTTTTCATTTAATTGATTTCTGTTGTAATATTGCTGATAATTCTGTGCAGAGGGGGTTCATATGAGAAGAATAATGCTTCCTGGGATGTAGAAGATGTGGGTGATCAGACATCATTAAAAAGCTGACCCACATCTGCCTATTTTTCTGCATCTATTGTGCCCTCTTGCCTCCCCAGCCAAAATAGGGTGTGCTTGGGGGCATACTTTTTCTGAAGCTCACACCTGTTACGGGTGACAGTTTCAAGGGTCTCAGTTGCTGTGTTTCAGCCTCAGTGTGGCGGTTATCCTCATCAATCCATGCCTTTCTTTCTATATAAATTGTACTTAGTTTCTATGTTTTGTCCACTTTTGTTCGATAGTTAGCAATAAAACCTTTTCTGTCCCAACAGGTTATGAGCCCTTCGCTCACTCACGCACAGGAATCAGAAAACTCAGACATTGTCGCCTTTTTAGTTCCAAACTCATCTTCGTCAAATCCAGCTTCTTTATCCAATCAGTCCAAAGGTACTGCAACCTTACTCTAGAATAAATTTGTTTTTGTATTCTGCCATCTTTTGTGTCACTTTGTGACTTTTGTTCTTTTGGTCAATCTTCTGTGATTGACGCCCTTGTAATTTTTTTTGTTTTACTTGTTGTGACAAGTATTTAGATCAAATTTTGAAGAACCCACCATGTCCAAATCCAATAACTCTCCATCTGCCGGAGAAGTTTTACTTTCAAAAGTCATCAAACTTGATCAAGTGAAGACACTTACTTGCGATGGGTCCAACTGGGATGAATGGGACTATGATATTGAATGTTTTTTGGTTTTCGCACCTGGCGCCAAATTCTACCTTGATCCTTTGATGGTGACAACACACAAATCCTATGATGTGGAGAAAGCTGACTACGTAGATGGTGTTTTGAGTTGGACCATTGACCGGTGTAGAACTTGAAGCTCAACAAGAGCTTTACAGAGCTTAAAGAGGGATAATCTACTAATATAACTAACTGGTAGAAGTTGCCTAAGACTGCCTCTTTGAAAGAATCAACACGGGGTTTTGCTGAATTCTTTGGGATAAGGCACCAGAGAAATTGTCTCAATACTTAATTCAAGTATTATTCCCGTGATTTTTAGAAATAAAGAAACCTCAACACTGCTATAGTGTTATTCCAATCTGAGCACAACAAAACACAACTTTAATTACTAGCAAAGCAACAATCAGTTTGATTGTTATTCCAATGAAGACTTGTAGTCTTATCACACGTAAAGAAATCTCTCCTTTGATGTAAAGGGGCAATTTAGTGAACTTAGTACTGCTGAAGTAATTTAATGATGATTAAAAACACTCTAACAAAAGTATAAGATGAGTAAAAAGGGGAACAAAGGCATGTAAAATCCCTAACAATAGTATATAACCCTCTAACAACCTTCAACAATGGTCAACAGCCTCCAAAAACCCTCAAAAACCGTCAAAATCAACAGAAAATCCTCCAATGTAACCATATGATGTCATAAATATTATTGTTTGTAATGATGCAAGGCGTGAATTTGATCAATTGATGTTAATGAATGATGAACAGATCTTCTTATGATGAATACAGGTGATTTTTTCCTAATATTCATAGCTGAAATCCATTTTTGGAATTACAAATTTTTTGTAAAGTTGTTCAATTTTTGATTACTATAGCTCATTTGATAGCCCTCGTGATACTGATCATTTATCACCCCCGTATGACCTATTTCTGATGTGTGATGAATAAGTTATTGAGTTGTAAAGATTGAGAAAATAAAGTTTTGTCATGTAAATGTCATATGTAATCACCAAATTCAAAATTCACTCCAGTTTCTTTGTTGCCTTATACCTTTTTCACTACTCCTCCGTTACTAATGATTTAAAGGCTATACATTGTGAAATGAATAATTCTGCGTTGAATGAGCTATCACACACCCAATTCTGACAAGTTTTAACATATGTAATTAACTAAAAACCTCCATTTTTGATGAATTCTGACTATTTTCACGTCTAATAATGATTTTCCTTCTATCAAAAGATCATTCCACAGCACTAAAATGATTCTGAAAAACCCTTGGCGCAATCAATCCATCAATGACATCACTACACAGGAATTAATACCATAGTACCCTTTTTCGAAATACCCCTTTTCTTGAATAATTTCACACCTCCCTTATCAATCCTCGTGATTAAAGTTGTTGCTGACTAATGTTATCCCTCTCTTTCATAATAAAACCTTCCTGAACCAATAACTCTTATAATAATAACCTAAAAACCATTTTCCAGCCTTTCATACCCATATTTTTAAAATTTCCTTCAACTTTCTTAATATTGTTCTTCTTCTTTCATTCTTTTCATAAAAGTTTCCATTCTTTAAGATCCAAACTAAATGTTCTTCTTCCTCAAATCCCTTCTTACTAATTCCTTTAATTTGATTTTCACTCTTATACTATTTTTATTGATCTTTTCAAATTTTTCTTTACTCTTAAATGTTCTTATCAATTGCTTATGTAAATATATGATTTAAAAGATAATGAAATGCAGATTATAAATCAACTTTGATAAACTTGATGACTAATAACTTCAATAATAAATTTGCCTTTGACCAAAAATACGAATTTTCACATAATTTTTAAATTTTTTGCTTAAGTAGAGATCTTGCTCACCACACCGGTCATTAGGATTATCCATATGACATTTAGAAACTCCGGCAGCAAAGTACGCTGCTTTGAAGTCTCAATTTTCTGGTATCTCATTTGCATCTAGAGTAGCCAATCTCTGCCAAATCATCTCAATGAAATTTGATTCAACCACTGCGACTATCAACATGCATCTAGCATTGATGAGAGACACCAGTGTTTGACTTTTGAGAATTGGTCTCTCCCTGGGTGATGACACTTTGGCAATCTTGCAACTGATCAGCATGCCGGACAACTTCAAATTCCTCAAACATACATTTGAATACAAGATTGACTCAAACAAGAAGTCTTCTATATCATCGGGTGAGATGTCTCGCGCGTTGTCAGCAGCTGCTGTTTCTCTTGGATCAACTACTGAGTCATCTATTAGGCAATCATCAACCATGCAAGTGGATGTAAAAAAGCTTTGTTTTTACTGTAAGGGACCTGGTCATGTGATAGCAGATTGCGGAAAGAGAGCCAAGAAGGAACTTTGTGAAAAAGAGAAAGATGACACAAAATCCACCCACAACCTCAATGTAGCTTCTGTTGAATTCAGTGAACTTGATATAGGTTTTACAGGTTGATCAGACATTGGGGGGTATTTTTTTCTGTTGTAGCTTTTGTATATGCACCTCTGCCTGAATTTTTGTCCAATTTTTTGTGCCTAGTATGTATCATGGAATTGTTGAGGGGGGGGTGTTACGGGTGACAGTTTCAAGGGTCTCAGTTGCTGTGTTTCAGCCTCAGTGTGGTGGTTATCCTCACCAATCCCATGCCTTTCTTTCTATATAAATTGTACTTAGTTTCTATGTTTTGTCCACTTTTGTTCAATATTTAGCAATGAAACCTTTTCCGTTCTAACAACACCCACCACATGAGTCTTAGGCCTTAGGCCACTGTATTCCTCTCTTCACTCAATGAAAGATACCTTACATGTTGGGCCTTTAGTGTAAGGTTGTGTGAAGGTTGGTTACTCTTTTCAGTACTCAAGGCTCACTAATTGGGCAAGGTGAGTCTTATAATTCAAGTAATTATAATTGTAATTCAAATACAATCTAATTACAAGGAATTATAAACAGAGAAAAGGGAATGAGGAAGGGAAGATACTGGTCTGAAAGGATAAATCCTGACAGACTGCAGTTAGGTGACTCCTCAAAAGGAGGTTTGGATTATAATGATATAAGATTATAATTGGTGAAGGGTGGATCCTAGTCCTTCCTCTAATCTTCAAGTGACAGATTAAAGAGTGATTTGAAGTTCACTGGACTAGTTGTTCTATAGTCACTAACCCTGGGTTGTTCTATGGTCACCAACCTTGGGTTGTTCTATGGTCACCAACCTTGGGTTGTTCTATGGTCACCAAACTTGGGTTGTTCTATGGTCACCAACCTATTTGTTTCTACTTGGGGGAAGTAGAGGGTCCAGAAGGGGATGAAGACTGTACTACTTACTTTTAGTCAGGACACTTCTTAAAGTGATGAAGTAAATCACTAGTCTTATAATTATAACACTCTTGATTATGTACTTCAAGACTACTTTAAAGTGGTTCTTTAAAAGTAGTGTGTAATAAAAAGTTGGGGAAAATCTCTGAAGGCTGAGAGAGGAGGGGTTTATATGCTCTCCTCTCCAAACCTAACTGTGGTGAGATTTGTTTATATCACTACCTTGGTTTAGGGTTTGATTATTAGTATTAGTTATGATCGTTACTGATAATACTTATTTACATATACATATTGTGTGTGATATGTAATATAAGCATTTTAACTCTTGACACTGAGTTATGAGGTGTAAATGATACTTTATTACATATTACATATTATTTGAAATGTATGTGTATATGTAATCAAGATGTATATATGATTTATTACATGTTACACATGGTTTGTAAGCTTTATGTACATGTAAATAGGTTTCTAAAGGTTGGTTATAGCTTATATGTATTACAAGTTAGTCTTTGGGTACATACATATGTACCCAGGGCTGACAGGTTGACATTTAACTCCTATCTCTTGATGATGAGTTCTTTCCTCTTCTAATTTTCATAGTCCAAATTTAGCTGTTGCAACTCCTGCTTTTATTATCATTCCAATATCACCTTCTATTATCTCTAATTCTACTGCTCAACAGACTAGCTGTACTGTTAATCTTCAACTCATAATCTGATATTCATATGCTTCACCAGCAAAATCATCATCATCTGCATCAATTTCTCCTCCTACAAAATCCACAAATATCACACAAGTTTCCAATCTACTTAGTACTCAAGGGGAGAAGGTTTTACCTATTCAACAGTTTGTCAGAACAACTGGTAAGCCTGATATATTTTGAGATTTTCAAGCAAAGAATGCAGCAACAGAGTGAAATGATGAATCTATGTTACCCATACAAACAGGCAATGGCTTCTTCAGATGCTGCCAAATGGTGAAAAGCAATGGAGGCTGTGGTGTGGTGGTGAGCAGGATTAGGGTGAGTGTCTGATGGAATTTAGCAGGCTGTGTCATCAAGCAGCAGCTGCAGCAAATTCTGGGTCTGAAATCATAATGTGTGCAAGCCAGAGGTGTCTGATAAATGATGTGTGAAATTGTAAATTTAAGGGGCAACGTTCTAATCTTGTGGTCTGGGTAGGTACTTGCACTGCTTATTGGGTGTAAAGGTTTTTGAGTGCAAAAATACATTTTTGCACTGAATGTAATGTAAAGATGTCAAGTGTGGAATTGCAAGGTAGCCATAGTAATTTAGATTGTTACACCCAATTAATTACACATCAATAATTACACTCCAAAATTTTAGCCATATCAGGCGTAAGATGGCATTGGTCATTTATTGTATGGCTGTGACCTGGGCCTGACCCTGACTGAGCCAATCTGCCCAAGCCTCACAGAGCCTACATGGCCGGGCCCAGGGCCAAAATGTCTAACCTGGTGAGCCTTGCAAAGGCCCTGCAGGCAGCCAACCCGGCTGGGTTGCCATCAATATATTCAGATAATTCAACTCAACAACAAGTGGATCAACTAAATTTGATGGACAAACAACTTACCTGCAAGCTAATCATCACCAATATCTCCAATCCACCATGCCCTTGGCTGCCTGACTCTGCAGGGTTGGCCTCAGGGTTCTGGCACTGCCCTGACCAAGCCAAGATGTTTTTGCAAGCCCTTGGGCTACATCAGGTCCGGCCACAGCCTTAATTTATCCCCATGTAAGTTGATCTTTACACTGCTTCAATTTTAAACTCAATATTGAGTGTAAATCATTGGGTGTAAAAATCTATAGACTCGTGTTTTGAGGTTTACCTTAGGAATATGGAGATGGGGTCAGGGTGACATGACTAATCTTGAACAATGGTACACATGGTGGAAGGACAAGTGTGGTCTACACCTGTGACAGCTTCCTCATGGTGGAGGGCTTGGTTGAGGGTGACAATGTAATTTCAAGCCACTTGACCTTGGTATTTCATCAACTCAAAAAAAGTAGAAAAGTCCATCTCAATCAGTTTTGTGGAACACATGTGCAGGTGACCTGTTGTGGGCATGTACACCTGTTATCTGTTCTTCATAAAACTCTATATTACAATAATCAAACTACAATAAAACAAATTGGGAAATCTTTCTTAATTAAGGAAAAGCTGAAAGTAATAACGATGAAAATTATCGCATTGTACAATAGGGTCATTGCGCCCGATGCGCGTGCCAAAACAACACATAAGACATTCAGACACAATAAAACCACAACCTGCAAGACTAAGCTGCAAGGATAGCTATACCACGTCGTGCCAATGTACCTTGATCTTCTTCCGATGGAATTGTAGCTGTGAACAACAAATGTGTTCTAGAGGAGTCAAGATAAGTGGGGACCTGGACCATGCGCGTAGCTGCCGAAGGCTCCTTGGTCCACTGCAAAAGGGACGTGGCGAGCGCAGAATCGCTTCCGTCATTGAGTATCAAGGTGCTTTCGGAAAAGGATGAACCTTGTAGAGTAAGTCCTATAGATATGAAGAAGTTAGCCTGAAATATTAAGAAACTGACTATAAACAATGACAGCTTACCCTCTAATCGGAAGCCATCCTCTGAAGATTCCACGTCAGAGGAGTGAAGGATAAGCTGCAGGCGCAATTCTTCGAGGGATGTCTTTGTGCGATGAGATACATATTGCCGTGTAGCAGTGAGGTATCCATCTATTGAAAATAATCACCAACCAAGATATCAGTGTCCATATGCAGATGAGATAGATCCAAAGAGCTTACCGGGAAAGAACAAGAGTCCTAGGTTAGTGAGACTAGTCAAGTCATTAGAGGTGGCAAGTCGGGTGAGTTGCTGAATTCGATTACTGAAGTTGGAGATCCACTGCGACAGTGACATGGAGGGGTTGACTTTGTACTTTTTCCAATGTGATGGAATTGATCCTGTGATAAGGATGAAGAAGATCAGCTCAAGATCTGATCATCTAGTGGAAGCGATACATGAACAAACCAGTGGTGAGCTCCTGAATCAGAGTGCGCAAATGATTGGTTTGTTTCACTTCGCCATCACAAACCAATACCAGATCAGAAAGGTCTCGTCGGATGACTCGCAGTAAGTCTTGGCCCAGTCGAACCTCTCGAGAAAAGAATCGAAACAGTGGATCGTTGGCATCATGGCACCTTGGGTCCATGTTGCAGAGCGTTTCACTGAGCTGTTTCATGTAGTCCGAAGCAGTGGTTCTGAGCGCTCGCATCCAGCTGGGTTGTCCCATCCTCTCCGGCGTTTGTTTTTCGTTCATCGCTTCTCCTACAGATTCGTCTTCGTCCGTGCTGCGCATCTTGAGTAGTCGAGATAACAGTTCCGATCCTGAATATCACGAGATGAGTTTACTTGGTCATTGCAAAGATATCAATTTTAACAACTTACCTTGCGTTGCAGCAACCAAGGCTTCTGCATTGGGCGGAAGCCCTAGCCAGTGAGGCGGTTCTCTCTCTGGTAGTGCTTGAGCCCACGTTACGAAGTGATCTAGCCTTGCACCTTCTGCAATTACCAAGCCGTTGTCATCGGCCAGTGGATGCACTAATTGGTATCCAACTTCGAATGCGGTTGGATTGAATAGATTGTCCACGAAGCTATCCAGCAAACGCTGATCCCAATCAGAATCGACGCGGCCACCGTAAACGGCTTGTTTCAGGAGTACGCGCAGTGCTGCCCATGGTAGCTGAGCCGGATCGATCTATGAGCCAAAGAAAAGAATGTCAGAGAGTCCTTCCCATAGGACTTTGCTGCTATGAACCTACGTTGGCTTTCCCCTTCGCTGTCGCTGTCATCCATGAGTCAATCATCGACATTGCTGCCTCTAGATCAGAGTCATTAAATCTGCCAACACGCTGTCAGTTATTAAGGCCTCCAAAATATCATAATGGGACAAAACTTACTCATAGATCTTAGACCAACCAAGTGGGCAATAACGCAAACGCTCTTGAACGACTGCATGGAACCTATGAACGCGTAAACTCAATCATCAATTGACGGCTAGGTAATGATGATCGGTTTCAATACTCAAAACTTACCAAGCCAGCAGGAAATATAATCTGACCTTCTCGTTGGGGCCAGTAGCCACACGGGAAGGGTGTATGCTTTTCAAGCAATCAATCAAATTCGCACGGATTCCAGGGGGCGGTTCGTTCATGATTATCCGAGATTGACGTAAGATGCTAACTGGAATGCTGGGGTTGGTTTCCATTGTTAGAAACAGACGGAAAGATTTGGGTGGGTTCGAGGCTTGCAATCTTTTTTCAAGTGTACTGAGCCAATTTGAGGCCAAGTGAACATTCTTTAAAAGTACCCATGAGCCAGTCCTTACTGCGGTCGCGATTGCTTGTTCTGCTAGTCCGTATCCTTCTTGTGAGCCCATAGCGATTGACACGCATCGAGACTTGGTATTCGACACAAGATTCTCCACGCGGTAGCTCGCGTCGTATCCAGAAACGGAACACAGACATACAGGCGTTGAAGACACAATTTCGCCAGTGACCATCGTGTCAAAGTCATAAGATGCCTCGGCTATGATATCAAGTTCAAAGGTACGGCTGACGTGAAGACCAAGTGCCGCCAACAGGCGGTCGGGTCTGAAGCACTTGATCAATAACAATTTCCGAATAGCGGAAGTAGAACCTGTAAGAAAAAATTGTCAGCATCAGATGACTCGGAATGACGTAAACATGAGAATGATTACGCACTGGGTGCCTCGGGCCATATATCAGGTACAACCATCTCAGGGCGGGAAGACGCCAAGAACGCCTCCCATGTCTCAGATTCAGCCGACATATGAGCCACGACGTCTTTGAAACATGCGAGTCTTTGGAAGGATTGAAGACGAGTCTGTTGGTCGGATGTAAGGAATGGGAAGATCGACGTAGGGAGTCGACTGTTCCGTTCAGCACCGCCCTCCAACAAGAAAGCAAACTCTACTTCATCGAATTCATCACCTGAACCTCGAATCTTGACCTGCGCCAATAACATAGCTAACATCAGATGATCGCGGTGAAGTAGCGCGCGAGATGTACGTTTGAAAGTGATCACGAATAAGTCATTAAGTAATATGCTGAGTCGTTGTCGAGGGTCTTGAATCGTGGCCAAGTTTGGATTGTGAAGCAAGACAAACTCAAAGATATCAAGAAAAAATCGGAGAGAGAATTGGTAGAAGTGATGAAGAACATTGAGTTGTTCGAGGACGAAAAAGATTGAGCTAGAGGCTTGTGCCAATGGGAGGTATTCTGCTGTCACTTCATCCACTTCACGCATCACAATATCTGTCTCTTCAACCTTTCGACCAACTTCAGCAGCTTCGCGCTTGAGGGTTTCTAAAGTATCAATCACTTTATCATCGTCTAAGATATTTCCTGTGGATTCACTGAGGGCTTGAAGCAAGGATTTCTCAAGATGTCTTAATCGTAGTTTGAATTCACCCTGCAACTTCATCAAGTCAGTTCGCTTTTTATCTGTATCAGGTCTCTCGACTCGGAGAACTTGATTCAACGATTGGCTTTGAAGACTGCCTCTTGTCATGGTGAAGTTCACAAACGTCACTCGACTGCAGATATCGGGTGAAAACTCCACCGATGGATCTCGAGTGGAGAGAAACATAGTGAAGGCAGGAGAGAAATCAATGTCTTGATTACCGAGTCGTATCAGCACACGTCCGCCTGCCCTTCGAAGTTCTTTATTCAAGACTGCATTGAGGATTGGATCGAGATGTTCGACGTCCTGAATCAACAAAGGTGTACCAAATCGCAATGCACTCTCCAAGTTCTTGACAAACGCTTCATCTAGAAAGCTAGTCACAGTCATCTTCCGATCTCGGTATTCGTTCATCAAGAAAGTGGTAGCTTGGCCAGATGGATCAATGATAAGGGGGTATCGATTGAACCGCTTCAACATAATAGCATTTTCAGTACATAAATCATCGGCGGGCAAAGATTTGGATTGCCATCCGAGCCGATCATCAGCTGTCGAAAGATATTCAGTGAGTGACAGCTCCGCCTTGTATTTAAGATTGGCTTGATTGAGATGATCGACCCATCCTTGCCACATTGATTCACGATAACTTTGATCAAAGAATCCTCCATACGTCATGAAGGCAGCTGATAAGAGAACATCGCCGGCCATTGTACTCATCTGTGTGTCAAATGTAGCACTTCCAGCTTCCCAACGTGTCTTCTCAGATCCTAGACTGTCTAACAGTTTGATACTGCGATCCACCTTACTCTGCACACGCTTCATTTCGTTCTTGATTGTTTCGGTCTCACTAATCAGTGTAGCATACTCGGGCTTATAACGAGCGATTTTGGCCTCAAGTTCTGCAATCATCGTCACAATCGTTCCAGCTTGATCTTGTGTAGAGCTCGCTTGATCTTCCAGTGATTGTACTTCATTTCTCAAGGGGCCAACTTTGTCAAGAATTTCAGAGAATTTGACTTGAGCAATTACCCATTTGCACAGGGGTCCGCATGCTTTACTGGCGCGATTGACAGTATCGAAATTGAAAGATGGTCTAGACAGGAAATCAGCTTTCATCTTCTCTCGAAGCTGTCTGGTCATCCGGCGATCAGTGTCGAAGTTCACAATGCTGGCGATGAAATCGTCCTTTCGAATGATACCTTGAACGCTCTTCCAACTCTCGATTTTATGTCCGAGAACGGTACAGACAGACTCCATCGCAAGTTTAACAGCCTCGGGCGGATTGGCCATGGATCTCACTTCGGTCAGATGCTGTTTTTTGATATTGCTAACAGCCGCTTGGGCCTCTTCGACTGCTGGTTCAGCATCAGCAAGATCTCTCATTACCACCGATCGACGTTCAGCTATGTCCTTGTTCTGCTGTTCCAAGGCCGCCTGGATTTGTATTGAAGCCTGTTTCTTGGTTTCGGCCTGCTTTTGATCCTCAAGCATCTGATTAAGTTTCGCTTCGGCCTCGATATCTTTGGTTTCTAATTGGGCGCTCTTAATCGCAAGACTTTTTCTAAGCTCTTCAACTTGTACCACTGTATCACGAAGCTTATCCAGCCCAATGTTAAGATGCCGTTGCTGTTCTTCCAGATCATCACGCTTTTCGTTAAATAATGAGACGTAGTTCTTGATGAAATCGAGGTAATGACGAGGAGTAGCATAATTGAACCTAGCTTGTCGTCGAGCCAGACGTCGGTTAGTCTCGTACATCGATAGATGAACGGCTACTAGAGCATTGATGATCGCATTCCGATGGATCGGAGGCAATGAGAGATGTCGATATACTACTGGAAAGTCGATGGGTGGCGAGTAATGACTCGCGTCAAGATCGAGGGAACTCGTGAATTCCATTCCAACTTGGTAGAATGCTTGATCCGACCAATCTCCAAACCAATCCAACACGCATCGATTGAAAAGCGCAGGGGATGTGGCAGCTCGTGAAGCAAGTCCGTTCTCCGGCGGATTCATGGTGAACACGACATGAAGGTTTTTGGCAACCTGTTGCGTGAACCATCGGTACAGCTCATCTGGTGAATCTAACATCACACCATCTCGTTGAGCACCCTCCTTGCAAGCGGTCATTAGCGCCGCGTGTTCATCCCCTTCGAATAACCCTGGGACCTCGGCATTGGCGAGTAATGTGTTCATTCGCTCAAGGAACCCCGAATCCAGTACATTTGACTCGTCCATGATAAAACATATTTTTTCCGCTTTACAACCGGAGCGCCTTAAAACGTTCCTCAAGTCATCATCAAAGTCGGCAGCTGTGTATTTGTTGTGCACCTTGATTTGAAACACACTTAGTCCATTCAACCAAGCTACAAAACGTGATAGGGTCGTCTAAGAACGATCACAATCATGTAACAAATCTCTGATGAGTAAACATCTGCAACAGTTGTAATTTAGATGAATGGCTCACCTTCCCACTTCCGCTCACTCCAATGAGTAGCAGATGTCCCTGGACCTGCCTAAAGACTCGATCGATTCTCAATACGTGATCCAATACGTCGTTGAACAGAACCAGTGGAACATCTAGTTCTTCTTCGTAGAAGACTCTCAATCGAGCCTTTGAGTATTCACGCAGTTCTTCTCGGTCGACACTAATATAATATTTGGATGTCCAATTCGAAAATAAGATAGGTCGCGTAAGCGCTTCTTCAACATTCAATGTTGGGAAATTTGCCAGAGCAGTCGAGTCAATCTGTTGATCCGTCCATTGCTTCTCTTCCTCAGACACTAGCCTGTCTGAAAAGAGACGCAGTGCCTCGTGTGCCCAAACGCGAACCAGACCTTCCATAGATAACGTTTCCAAAGGTCGGATTGACTCATATATACCTCTAACCCACCTCGTCAGCTCACGAGGACTGTATACGTAATGAGCTTGTATGTCAGACGTGAATCGTTTCTGGGAGGCAAGATAGAACTCGACCATGGCTGATGTTAGAGGTTCGGCCTGCCCACGAAGCGTAGGAACGACCTTCAAGACGGCTCGAGTGAAGGTACCGTAGATTTGTTTCAAGGACGCCTCGCCGGGATAATCGACCATGACTAAAGGTGCATGTCGTAAGAATCGGTGCGAGAGGGGGACTCGTCCAGGATCCGTCGGAGGATTACATGCGCCTACAAATTGAATACGTTCCAATCTGATCCATGCTTTGTCCGAAGGTCGCCAAAATCCACCGCCTTCGACTAGCTGTCGAAGGAAAGATATCACCTTCTGAGTGCCGTATTTATCCGCCGCCGGTAAATTGATCTCATCGCAGAAGACGACAATCCATTTTCCAATCTGGATTGGAGCTAATACCACGCCATTAGGAGTCTTCTTGTACTCGCAATGTTGATCGAAAGTTTTGAGCACCAATTCTGGCGTAGTAGCACTCGAGAAATTGAGCCCGACGACGTCCATATCTGGTAATTTTCGAAGCGCACTGAACAAAGTCATTGTCTTTCCCGAACCAGGCGGGCCACAAAGCATGAGAGGCTTGTGCTCGGAAAGCCATGAATAAAGAACCTCCTCATGACGAACAGTATCGAGAGTTGGGATCACGACATCGGAAGCTGTGACCTGCTGGGTATCGATTTCGACAACAGGTACCGAGTTTTGCCAAGCGACCCAGTCACCAGACGCCACTTGAACATCATAATCTATAAGTGAAGCTCCGGGTCCGTGCAATGGCGGCATGTCCAATCCGGAGTGGTCTCGAAGAAAGTCGCCCATGCGAGCACGCGTGTCAAGCTTTGAGTCTCCAGTAAATGCCCATACAATTGCTACTAGGAGTCTTTTAGTCGCATAGGCTTCAATTTGTTCCATCTGTAATGGGAAATCTGGATGCCGAGTGTTGTGGTCCAAAACATTACGGATGGTTTTGTTGACCAAGGAGAACAAGGTGGATAAGGCACGTGCGACGGTGAATTCCATAATGTGGTCAACATCAGCTGCGTACTCGAGCGCCCTCGTCACCAATCCATCTGGGTCGAAATGAGGCGTCAATACCTTGATGATTTGTCGTTGGGTTGTAAGGTTCTGCGAAACTTCACTGGCTTCATCTAGTCGGCGAGCTGGTGCATCCATCAACGAGGTGTCATCGTCGAAGGAATCTAGAGCGAGATGGTGGCTCATTGATAGGTAATTTTGATATATCATTGCCGGCGTCACTGCATCTTCACTGAACCATACCATTCCACAACGACTGACCGTAGCTAGAGTCGCGTATTTCAGAGACTCGACTTCGAACATTATCCTCACATTTGGAGGGAGATTCAATCGTTCACCGTTGGGTAAGGTAAGGAGTTTGTTGTCATCCAGAACACTTCGTTCCAAAGCAAAATCATCAATGTATGACTCTCAAAATGAAGACCGAAAAACTTTCAGCTCACCTGTTCAAGTTCTCCACCCATTCAGGATCCACGTCACCATCAAAGATGATCCAATGTCTCTTGGCATCTTCACCACGCACGTTATCGACAATCTTACGTAGAATATTTGTAAAAAGACCGTCATTCCATTCACGCGTGGTGGGATCAAGAGTTCCGTATAAGGCATCCTTTGAAATCGCCTTAGGATCGATGACGTAGGAAACGCCTTCACGTCCTTCAAATCGTTCAAGGGCAGCAAGGAGGACACGCCAAGCTTGACTTTTCCCAGTCGCCGCGGGACCAACCATCATCAGACCATGCTGTATGTTCTGAATCTGGTACAATTGGACCACTTTTTGACACCATACATCGCCCACAACCAGATGGCGTTCGGCAGCCACTGCTGCAATGTGCTCCTTGAGCTTATCGAGATCACTGGGAAGATATTCGACCCCGGGGAAAACATCGGATAACAGACTATATAGGATAGAGGACAAGAAGTTAGCGAAGTATTCAATTATCGTCATATCCCAACAAATTGGGATCATCTTTTCACGCACCTGGTCAACAATGGTACATCGTCTGCCACCAGTTTTGGTACGATGGTTTCTGTAACACTTTGAATTAGGATCTCCTGTTCGGCACGAGTATCGGAGACGTCGGTGGGTTCATCGGTTGGCTTCAGCTGAAGTCGACCACGTTTCAAATGTCCGGCGCTGGTTAGTACAGCCTTGAGGGCCCGAAGACCAAAGTCGTAATGCGGTTGTCGTGATAATTGCTCGTCACATAGGCTGAAAAAAGGTACAACTTTGGACGCTAAAGTTTCAGCAGTTCTGAATCCTTGAGAGAACAACATGACCTGAGCGATCAGCTCTCGATCAGGACGTGTCATCGCCATGCTTCGGAATAACTTTTTCAAATTATCGGGCAAGTTCGAACGTCCGGCATACCCAGGGTTCATGGTGATAAAGATTCTATGAAACCATCACAATGATGACGTAAGTGTACTCCTTCGTCAGAGAATGAAGACAAACGAGAAAGTACTCACCCGGTATGCGGGTTGATCCTCAATGTCTTCCCAACTAATTCCACTTCGGCTTTAGGATCGATGGATGCAGCACGTAAACCGTGCTGAATGCTCTGAATTTGTTGTGAGACGGCACTCAATATCCTCTCTTCCAATCGATTGGCCTCGTCGAAACAACCCCAAGCTCCGACTTGACAGAGTCCCACGAAGATCCGACCCATGGCTTGAAAATCAAACGTTTCGTCACAACAAAAGACTAGAACAAAACGTCCGAGCTGAACACCCAGTGCTTTGACAGACTCGGTTTTACCTTTGTGAACAATGCATGTGATCAGTTCAGCATGTCGATCATCTTCTACGAGGATCATCTAAGTCGAAATGCTTTGACAAATGCTTACCTGTACCTGCCGGTCCAAAAGGTGAACCTCCTAATCTGCCGTGGAGAGCCTGGGTGAGTGTGAGATAACAACGGTCCGTCAAAGGTGTTTGAACAAGTCGGTCGGGTACGCCGAGATATTCAAAACCGTAAGGAAACACGGCATTGGCCATTTGGATCGATAACCGCTCCGTAGGATTCGACACAGATGCATCGAGATAGAAACGCATGTGGTAGAGCCACTCGAAGCGCGTAACAGAGTCGACCTCATCCTTAATCAAAAGCCGGATCACATCTCGTTGATGTACCAACTCGGTGATCAAATGTTCACATTTTCGTCGCATCACCGGCTTCAGTTCACCTAGGACCACGAAGGCAAGGAGATCCAACGTTCGCATAACTATCCCGAGCGCTTTATCTAATCCCACACTCGTCTTCAGCGTGTCGTCCACGATCCGCGTCCACATGATTTGGACAGCGAGAACCACCAATTGAGCCGGGAAGGACTCGATCCACTCCAAAAACTGATCTTGATTCAATTCATCACCCTCGCTATAAAACGTAGCCAGTTGATCCATCGCCATCGACAATAATTCGGCCAACGAGATTTGCATCTGAGACTCGAGTTTGGTCAGCCAGTCGTTGATTTTGGGAAAGTCTTTCAAGATAATCGGGGTCGAGAATGGGACTTCTTCTCCTTCCCTTGAGCACATCTTTTCAATCCGAGTAATTTCCTCGTCGAAAGTCAAGGTTGAGAGACCAGCGAACATCTTCTTGAGATGTTTGACAACCCTCAAGATATCTTTACTGTTCCCTAAAATCTCTAACAGATCCTCGTCTCCCACAAAGTAAAATCGTGGAAAAGACGATCTTTCACGTTCAAGATATTCGCCTAACGCTTTCTGTAATTTACTGAGCGATTCGAGTAATTTATCGAGCGTCTTGAGACCTTCTGGAATTTGAAGCACATCCAACACGTAAGGAGACTTAAAGACTCGTTTCATAATTCCAAGATATTCGGCGTTGATGTTCGTAAAACGGTTGCTCTCGTTTGGAAGCAGATGCTTGATATCCGCATTTCCTGAGAAGATACCCTCGAGATAAACCCACTGACGTTGAACATCGATCCATTTATTGAACATCTCGCTCATCCGGTTAAGACGGTCCGTCCATATCAAGGCGTCTTCTTCAAAAGTTTTGTAATAAGGTGAGAGCTTCATCTGACTCAACGCACTAGTATGTTCACTGCACTTATTGAATAAATCATCCCATCCTCGAATCAATCTTGTTTTGTTTTGATAGTTGACTAATTCCAAAACATAACTCTCCCAAGTCTCTTTTATCTGTTAAAATCAACGAGTAAAACCTAGTCAGCAGTCTGAGTGATTGTATATGACATGAATTATAACCTACCTGTTTGATATATTCCTCTAATGCGACCTCCCCAGTAGCCTGCGCCAAAACCTGTCGGATCGGGCTTTCGTTCTTCTTCAAATCCATATCCCAGATTGTTCCTAGAGTCATTTGAGAGGGAGCGTAATGACCAGGCAATCGAAGGTTTTTGTACAACAGTTTCCAATGGCGTTCTCGAAGCGCATCTGACTTCAATTCGCCGACGAGGGCGACGCTCTTCTGATGAAATCGAATTTTTTCTTGAACAAACTCGAATGCTTGATATTGTCGCATCTTACTTGGCATTTCTCTCGTACTAGCCAAAAGTGAGTCCAAAGCTTGTCGGAGTTTTCGAGGCGTAACAGAAGACCAGGGCATTTCACGAAGTTCAGCGAGCTGAGCCCAAATTCCAGACAGAGCAGTCCAAACTGCTTTGAGGTCTGAGATCTCTTCAGCCACTGGTTCGAGTCGTTCATTGGAAGTGTGCTCAAGATCAAGTGCTTCTTTAGCTCGACAAACTTGACTATGTTCATCTTTCAGCCGATTCACCCGAGTTTCGAAAAGGTTGATGGCGTTCATGGCGATATCTGGCTTCAATTCTCCACTTATCGGCTTTTCCTTTTCCCAATCAGCTACCAGGGCTTCGATCTTGCTCTGTACCACCTTGTCCTCCGCTACGATCTTCATTTGTAAACCTCCTGGAAACATTTCTCTAGATAGTCAGCCTTTCTGAAAGGTGAGAACTTTGAAAATGACGGTCAATGAAACAAGACTTGACATACCGATCTGCTCTTGAATAGCCGAATTCTTCCTTTTCAATAACTCGTTGAAAACATTCCACTCGCCCTCGATCTGGTCGACGTATAACCAATCGGATGGGAATTGATACCGCTGTCGGTGTAAAGTTTTCTCACCGCTACCAAAGATCTCGATGTCAGGTTCCCATTTCTTGACTTTACGATTCAAATCTTGTACAAAGGTAATAAATGTGACCGCTTGAGCGGTTGAAGAAGTCTCGATTGAATGGTGTTCCAGATCATGCCTTGATTTGGTGATCGCAGTATGAGTATCCCTCATCACAGCCCCTAATTTCGCACCAAATCTAACGAGTACATCTTTTTGCCACATGTCGTATTTTGCATTAACCTTCGCCTGAACCTGCTCGTAATGAATTACACAGACACCAAAGTCTTGTAAACTCTCCGAATTATCAAAAGTCGAACGAGTCTTTCGAATTTCGGAGAGCGCCTGTTGCCAAGCCGATAATGATTCGCCCAGACGCCCGTAAAGATAGTCTGCCTCCAGATCCCAGAGTGACTGAAATTGCAGCCACTTGCGAAGGTATCGTGAGATTTCTTTCACCTTCTCTTCGATCAACGCATATGGTCGTTGAAGTTCCGCTTCACTAAATTTACCCATCTGATGACAGCCAATCAGTTTGATGCTGAAAAAGTAGACTATCAGAACTTACTAATGAAAGATAAGTATTGTCAACTGTATCCTCAATTCGAAGTTTGAGTCCCAGGTCATATCTTTGACTTTGAATCCTTGGCAAATTACAAATTACGCCTATACAAATCATCTCAGGTAAGCCCTGGGGCATGGGCTAAGAAGACATCAAGAATATAATGAAGATGAAACGCATAAGACTTACCAAGCCATTGATGAAGTTGCTTGTACCAATTGGCCCGCGCAGCCTCGATCGGTGGGTCAAGATAGATAACTTGATTGCGGATCCGGATCTCGTGTGCGAGCGGAAGAACGCGAAAGTCGGATTCCATGACCTGCATGAGATCACCAATCAGTCTCGGCTTTCAACTGAATGATCTGATTGACGTACCTTTGTGTTTGCTTTCCCTTCGTTTGTGCCATTTTTAGGAGGATTCGTGAGATTGAAGTGGACTGATTTCTTGGCAGTATTCACTGTGGTATTTTCAACTTGACCCGTGGTAGTAGCTCGCTTGGCTTTTTCGTCAAAGTGCTGATTCCAGACTTGAATAACATTTTCGAGTCGACGTAAGAACACATTTTCGATTTTACGGTCGATCTCTTTAGTCCATTCTTGTAAGTTCACATAACCGGTGACACTCAAGCCATCAATCTGTAACGATTTGTAAATGATGAAAAGTAATATGATCAGTCACCGATGTCTGACAGGAAAAAGAATTAAGACTGACCGTCTTCTGTATCTTGCTCAACAAGACAGCAAATACATCGGCTTTGTATTCACAAGAGGCGAGCTCATCGATGACTTTTAGCAAGTCCTCATACATGATCAAAAGATCGTCGGTTCGTTCTTGAAAGATCCCAACCTTGTTGGCTAAATCTCGAACATACGTTCCTTGCCTTCCACCTACTGTATCTCGATCTCCTCCACCTACAGTACCCAGTCGCGAATTGGCCAATCCGCCACTCACGGCACTGTCGAGCATCGTACCAACGAAATTCTCCCATCTCATATTCAAACCACGAGAGATCATTTGACACAGATCGTTACGATAATCAGCTACTAGATCCGCGATTCCACTTATATCGGTCACCTTGGCCAATGTCTGAGCATAAGTCCGGATGGATTCCATCAAGCTAACAGCGTTCGGATAGACTTTCTTGGCGTCCTTAGCACTCGAAGTAAGTTGATAAGGGACATTGTATCCTAACCACGAGAGATTTCGAACTTCCTTGAAGATGACAATCACGTCCGGGTTGAACGCAACAATCAACGTATAAATCCCGGTTGACCTGTTCCTTTGGATTTCAAAGATCGGGCCAGTGATACTCATATCTCGCTTGTTCCAGTCTTTGACCCACTGTTCGAAGATCGGTTTAGTGTCGAGTTTCTTGAGAAAATTGCTACTGTCATTCGCAAGTCTTGAGCCTTCGGCGTAATTTTCCCATCCTACACCCAAGACATCTTCGACCCGACCCATGTACGTTAACATCTGGCGTTCAATTTGCCTAGCCCATATAATGGCTCCTGCAACCGGAGGGATGTCACGCAGCTGAGACATTGGATAAGCCTCCGAGTGACGATACTAATCGCGGCCGATCACATCAATCAGCTTCGCTGTGTATAAAGAGTAAAAGTTCATATAAAGAGGTAATTACCTGAGTTCGAAACTTGTCGTGTAATCGACCAATATCTTCTTTCACCGACTCGATAAGCTAATACACACCGGAAGATGACATCAATGACAAGAATAAAATAAGACAAAAGACGATTCAAGATGGAATAGCTTACTTGAGTTTGATATTCCTGTATGGCTCCCCGAATTTTCGGGCGTACAAACAAAGCATTGAACTTGGAGAAAACCCTGATCATCGTGAGCAAAGACCAAGGCAAGGATAGTATACGTGAGTCTAAAGGCATAAGTTGAAAGAAGACGGGCCTGAGCTGACCGAAACATCTCCGTTGCATTTCGAGCTGATGCTAGCCTTGCGCGTAGCCTTGAGATAATTTGGTTTTCCACACGTGACACCCGTTCGTTGTAAGCCGCTTCAGCCGTGCTCCAAATCTGGGTACCATCTGTTTGAACGAAAAGCAAATTAGTACCATACTGCAGAGGGCGAAATGTCTCGCAGATCAATGAAGGAGAAGACTTCTTACCAGGCGAAGTATCAAGAACCTCAACGTTCTTAACACTCTCGTAAGCCGCTCTAACTTCCTCCTCCATATCAAGGTCCATAAGTCCACTAATTTGAGTACCCTCAGTTCTCCGTTCGCCTGTCGGTCCCGTCGCGCCAAGATCGAATTTACTGATACCTTGATCACGCCCGGTCATGATCCTCAACTGTTCGTGTTGTTTTCTAAAACCTTTCAGGTACTCGCATCGTTCTTTGAGTTCGAGATGTGAGGCATTGATTTTGATCGGAATAAATTTTTCGTTCCTCTTGCGTGTCAATTCCCTAGCAATTGTAGTGAAATCCTTGATCTGTTCTTCCCATGTTTGACAGACGGAAGCTGTAGCGGCCATAATTTTGGAGAAAGTCGAATATTCTGTATACATCAACCTGTGACTTGTCAAAACCTTCAAGAGCGACTCGGTAAGATCTTTTGAGATCGCCTCCGCCAGAGGAAGAGCCCGTCGAATAGGATAAGGGCTATAGGTTGATCCGGGTAAATGAATAGTCAAGTAGGTGATCCGACGCACCCTCAAAAGATGGGTTACATGACTTACGAAATTTTGAGCTTCTTGTTAATATGGCTGAATATCTGAACTAGCGACTCTTGAATCTTGCCGAGATCCGTAGCGGCCAAAAGTTCATTCAAGGGAAAATCCTTCATGAGGACATTGTACTTGTGGACTAATGTCAACATATGGAGGCGTACGCACAAACATGAGCATCTTGAGCAAGCAAACTGAGCTTAGGTGAATGTGCAAGACTTACCGTTATCGCTAGCCTCTTTCAAGCCAGTGTCGGCCAAAAAAGAAACGGTTGTGTGATATCGCTTTGCTGTCTTGAGAATATCCAAAGTCAAAGCTGCGTGTATGCGAAGAGAGCTGTTAGTTTGAGCGAGAGGGAGAGAAGAAATGGCAGAACTCAACTAATAGGCTCCGATCGAAGCTGTTCCTCCACGCCTTGCAGGGCTTTCTCCATCGAAAGCCAAAAATTGATTTCCTGAGATGCTGTCCCAGATTCAACATCTCGTGATAGATTGGTGACGTTTTGAATTTCCTTGATCCAAGTGTTAACCAACGACTGCAACTTATTGAGGAATTTGTCATCTTTGAGTAAACTTGGATCGAGCAATTCTAACATGAAATGTATATTGTTACCATGTCTCATCGCGTCTGGATCTTCTCTTCGAGCGCGATCTATCACGTTGAGGATGATTGGGTGAATAATTAAGGTGATTTCTGGAATTTCGACATTCTGTTGAAGATGTAATAGCGAAAGTTCGAGTTCTGCAAACTTCTTCTTCGCCATCGGGATACCCATCTTAGTATCACTATCTTTGTTCCCTGCCGATTTACTCGTAGCATTAGCCCCGGTCGATGGATTTGGACCATTAGAACTGCTGTTCGTGTTTCCAGCTTGTGCTGAGTTAGAAGCTGCACCAGCAACGTTGCTGATACTTTGATTGGTGCCTCCATCGCTTAGATTTTTGGAACGATTCTTGCTATTGACGTAGGCATCAAAGAAAGGCGCGACGGCTAGATGTACCAAGTTATGAAGTTCTTCATATGGATTTGAAGAGGCGGTAGCAGTCGTAGCAGTACTTGTAGGTTCTTTACTCGTGTCTTTGGTAAGTTCAGTAGTCGAAGAAGCAGTACTGACGATAGGAAGTTGATTGGATGCTGGACCAAAGAGGTTTAGAAAATGAAGTTGATGATCGAGAGGTCTAGAACAATCGAGGGTAGGTACTCGTTTGATGAAAGCTAGAGTGGTGACAGTAGTTGAAGTATAATCGATTTCAGTCTTGAAGGTATAGACGAATGCGAATGTAGCATCTTGTTCAGTCCCTGTGACGACTTGATTTAAAGTTGATTGAGAGGCAAGTTGCTGTTCGCGAGTTTTGGAAAGGTAAATTGCTCTACAATTTTGATCGGTTCCGAATTTATATAACCTATCAAGTGAATCGGGTGCGGTGAAGATGGGAGAAGAAGATAATTGATCTGGAGTTGCACTGATGATTAGAGGTAATAATTGATTTAAATAGTTTATCAGATGATCGAGTTGGAATTGGTTAACAGCGAGTGAATGATCGACGAGTTTATTACTGATTCGATCGTCCGTGTTGGCTGATGTTGACATCTTTTAAGGACTAGACCTTGAAGAAATCTCGTGATACAAATTGTCCAGACCTCGCTAAGAGCCTGCTTCGAACGTTTCTTTCTCCAGACCTCGCTATGATCCTACTTTGAATGTTTCTTTATTTTTGATGATTCCAATTCGATTGATATCGTCTTGAGTGAGATGATTATGAATTAAAGCTTTGATTGATTGATTTGATGATGATGGTGGTCCTAAAGTGATGAGTGGTTGGATGAGAAATCACAATCATTATCTTTTGGAAATCAAATGAAACATCAAATCAAATCGTAAAGGGTATACTCACTCACATAAACTTCATCGATCGATTATCAAGATTTACAAAATACATTTTACCAATTTTGACTGTTCACTTTAATGTAGTTCTCATCCTAAAGTTAGACCATCATGGTTAAGAAGCCGTGGAAGGTGAAGCTCACATCGACAAGAGTGACTGTGCTCCATGCCTCTTGAAAGATTGACTCGCATAGATGTGATAAGTTTTCCTAACCACAGAAGTCATCCTCGATACCACTTTACCGACTCAACATATCTCTTTACCTTGTTAAGGACATGGCATCGGCTTTATCGTACTTTTAACAAGGCGATTTCAGCTCCTAGAGCACTTAGAGTTCCTCAACCGTTTCGTACAGCGTCATCCGCAGAATATTGGGACTAAAGGATCAATATATACCCGTATCCATTTGATGTCTAGGCCAGCGGATTGGCACTTGCAAGCTTCTTCCGGCTTTGGGCGCAATAGATTTGGGGTTAGGAATAACAATCGCGTGGTTTTTCAAGACTTTATTGAGTCGCGTTCACTGATTCTAGCATGACATTATGCGCACAGTTTCTCAGGCCCGCGACTCACAACATGTTCACAGTTATAAGCCAGGTATGTCTCTCCCGTCTTGAGAAAGCTGGGATAAGTTAAAAGTCCTCATATGCCTGCGACTCGCCAATGACCATCATATCGTGAGTCTAGGTATACCGATATCGGACCACGTCCATTGAAGACCGGCAACCAAACGATAGTCTCAAAACCCGCAGCGATGGCAGAAGAAATTCAAGGTGCTCATGCAATGACCGTCGTTCAAGATGCCCAGGCAGATGACGTACTCGAGCCAGCCCTAGAGGCGTATCGTCTAACCAGGCTACACAATCCGCCTCAAACTACAGGGCGAAAGGGCAACAGCACCTGGGATGACGACGAAGAACACGGCTTGATGAGTGGTCTAGGAGCCTTAAGCTCCATCCTGCGGTTATACTCTCGTGGACCAGAAACGGAAGCTCGAATTTATCCCAATAAACGTTCACGACGCAATGATCGAAGAAAAAAGAGCATACAATCTGGTGCTCAAAAGACTGATCGAAGCGAAACAGGTGCCGAGCATACAGCAGATGACACCGAAGACGACCGGGCGAGCACATCTAGCAGACTTCGATCCAGGATGCGTCGTAGGAGGCGAAAGTCGGTCACAGTTCAGGTTGCCAGTACGTCTTCATAGTATCTCTCATCGTTCCCCAAAAAGTTGATTCATGTCATTAAAAATGAATTAGGCGTACTCGAGAGACAAGCTTACATCCTCAAATTATCCAAAGCACTTCTTCGATTTGGCTCACCCGGACATAGGCTCGTCACTCAGCTTGAAACGGCTGCTGCTGCGCTTGATCTCAGAGCAGGCTTTTACAATATGCCAACATTGATCTTTGTCACATTTGGTGATCATGGCACACATACGTCTGAGATTCATTTCGTTAAGGTCTGTTCTTGTTCTCATGTCGACCTCTCATCTCAGACAAAACTCATCTTGCATTCAGACTCATATGCAAATTTTACTTCGTCTACACAGGCTACTGGAGGACTCGATTTGGGAAGGTTGCCTCGTTGCGCTGAAATTTACAAGCAGGTAAAACTCATATGGTTCTGGGTCAAGGCCGTGATGGCGTGTCTTCCTCAAGGGTCATTCCTAAGCAAATTTGATTGTGTGCATGAACGCTATCTTTCATAGGTCAACTATTCTCAGATCGACGTCAAGGAAGGTATCAAACAGCTCAATAATCTCCTCAACGAGCAGCCTCCTTGGAATATTCGAGACAGGATCATCTTTGCATCGTTGCAATCATGTCTCTTGTGTATCATGGCCTTCAACGGTAGCATTGCGGACGCTGTAAGTTTTAACAGAGATCGTTTGCTTTTCACGTTGATTTCACATTCCATCAGCTGATCTCGTGAATCGGTTGGATCATCGGCGTAGGCGATCTGTCTTATTTATGGGGCCTTCTTTGGATATATGGCTCTTCATGTGCACAAGTCCGCTACCGACATGTACACTAACATTTTCGAGTAAGTGATTTTGAATGTAGGCATTTCAACCAAGTGATGCTTTCTACTGACCGCTTTGGACCAATCAGGATATCAATGGCAACAATTTTCTCATTTCTGAGTCGTGCATTGGCCTCCACCGATAGGTTCTGCTATCAGAGTCTCACGAGTGCTGGTCTTGTAGGTAAGGGTTTGGAATTCATCTCGTCTTCGTGAATTTGAGGCAGTGGTGACCTTTCTCCAAAATGAATAGGCCTATTACCCGGGCTTGCTGTTTGTAGGTACACCAGTTCCTTTTTCTGGATCGTAAGTATACCCCGGTCAACCAATACACTTGATACTTACCTCCGTGTGTCCACTTAGTATCAGGTGCTTTGGAACTCGCGTCCAAGAATATGATCAACGGTTCAGTGAAATTGGTATATGCAGTCATATACAGCCTCTTTTTGGTGAGCTTCATGAGATTGTCATTATCCTCATGTGCGGATGGTAAAAATTGAGATATGGTCTTTTGCGTATCATAGGGGTTCGGTACGGTCATTGGTTCCGATATGTTTTTACTTCTTGTTCCCAGCGCAAGATCTGACTTGAATCAGGTAGTTGCCAACACCCAAGGCCGTTTGACTGTCACTGGAATCTTTACCTCGACTGTTGCCAATATGGCCGGTGATCTAACCGGTTTATTCACAGTCGCCAATACGACTATTGTCGGCGCTGCTACATCCGTTAGCTCGCTCGAGAAAGGTTCAATCACGTGCTTCAGACGCCCTGAAGATCCATGGTGGACTCAATCTGCGCTTTTCACGCCCTACATTCTAATTGGAATAGTACCTGCCTTCGCCTTCCTTCAGTCTGTTGCAAATGGACAGCCTCTCAGAGATCGGCAAATAATAGCGCAAGTTGTTATATCCTCTTGTGGGTTTCTTGCAAACTACTCGGCCAATAAATTCGTAAGCATTGAACTCTTTCTTGATCCAGCGATATATCCCACATCGTAGTTTCTCAAGATTATGCTGTCGTTCATCACGATGAAAGCATCCACCGGAATTCGACGCGATACCTTCTTGGAGGCTAGCTGATGATTTGTGGGATATCAAACCTGAATTACCGCTTTCACTTTCTTTTAGATTTTCGCCGATACAGACGTCGTATCCTTCGCAGGTTCATTTGCTGTGGCAACAATGGGAAATCTTTACGCGAGGTTTTTTCACAAGATCGCGTACACGAGTATGGCCACTGGTGTGATGTTCCTACTTCCTGGAGGATTGGCTGCAGCCGGTGGTCTTTCCATGACCTATATGGAGGGTCAAAATGACAATTAGTGAGTTTTTTTAGTACATTCTAATCTGCATTTGGACAGATTTTTGTGCATTGGATGTGTTTTGTCGCAGGCCATCACACGATTCTCATTTGTGGGTTTTTTCGAAACCGATATGTTATCCCTGACGGTTTTTCAAAGTGCCGGGATTAGTCTGGCTCTGCGCATGATCGATGTTGCAATTGGGATCACCGTGGGATTGTACACCTCGTAAGTCTCTATCACATGGTCGACAATTAAACGGGGTACAAGTTCCTAGTGATTTTCCTGATCACTGACCGCCACCTCGTCTATCTCATTCTCTATAGCACTTTCCTCATCAATGCCATAGGAGTAAAGGGTAGTGGTGCTTTCTCGTGGTGACTTTGGGAACTCAGATCATCCTATTTGTGCCATGAATTCTGAAACTAAGAAATGAGTGTCCAAAGCTTCTCAAAGGAACAAATCACCGTATTGCTCAACTCCTGGATTGAGCTTTCTCAAATCTTGAGGTTAAATCTCTTTGATATGTCGAGTGCAATGAAGCTCAAGTACATGCTTAATGAGCATTCTTTCTCGACCTCTTGTTGCAATAGGGCAACCTACTCCCAAAGTGGCGTAGTCCAGATGGGTCTAAATTGTAGACATTCCAGGCGTTATTTGCTGTTGCTTGACTTTGTAATTGTTTGCTGTGGCGAGGACTGCGTATAAATTTCAAATTGGATACATTTGTGGTGAACACACATCTTGACGGGGATTGTTCAAGAGCACTTTCGAAAAAAATGACGATTTGAGTCAAAGATTTGATCTTGTGCTCGATTAATAATTTTGGCTACAAAACTAACTTACATATCGTCAGTATGGTCGGCATTTCGCGACCACCTGAGTTTCACAACTTGAAAACGCTCAAGCTCACGATCTGGAGAAAGAGACAGGATACATCGCGCAACAGATTGTAAAGACTGCCACAGCAGTGAGTAACATACTACGGAGTACGTATATACACGGAATGTTAGACTAGTTACATAAAAGTTAAACTGATGATACATTGAAAGCATTGAAATCATCTCAAAGGAATTTCACAATCAACACGCATATTTATTACTTTTGCTAAAAAGGAAGCCCGGGTTGAAATAAAATAAAATAAAACGTAGCCCAGAATTTCGCCGCAGTCACTGCAGTGAGTGTATGTACAGCAGCAGACACAGTCAGAGATTTTGCAGGTGCAGCCCCGCCTGCAATCTCAACCAATTTGATTCAGCTCCTTCAAGAGAGCCTACCACCAACCAATCAATTTTCATACTTGTCTTCTTGATGGGGTTCTGTAAATATTCAGCTGATATCAAAGTGCTCGCGGTTCGCTGGAGTCTTCGAGGACTTCCAAGATCTTTAATCCGACAGCGACTCAACAAGCAAATTTCTCGCAGATCCTTTGGCCGATGGATTGAACTCTACCACCTAACCCGTGCAGTCATACGCGATCCCGACACCTACGAACGCCGTGGTCGGCGCCAGCACTTGAATGCCACGGATCGTAGATTCATGGAAGAATTGATTCTCGACCAGCCATCCCTTTTCCTCGACGAGATTCAAGAAAAGCTTTACAATGTGCATGGGAAGATGCCTTCCATAAGTACTGTTCACCTCGAACTTCAGAGCCGCCTTATGATAAGCTTGAAGAAGGCCTGTGTCAGTAACACTCGGAAATCCTTGATGCCAAAGTTGAAATGGATGCGCGATATGATGGGCTATCCATCCAATTTCTTGGTGTTTACAGGTCAGTCCAATATCACTTTTCATCTCATATTTTCTCGCAATCTTGTATTGAAATCCTGTGTTGTCTCACTGGTTGCAGACGAGAGCGCAGTCTGTGGGAGGGATCTGCTACGAAAACGTCAGCGAAGCAAGATTGGAGTCCGCACTACTCGCAAGGTTCCTAAGATGCATCAAGGTCGATATTCACTCCTTCCAGCCATCACTTATGATGGCTTGCTGGCTCTTTCAGTTCTTGAGGGGCCGGTGAACCGGAAGCGATTCGAGAAATTTTTGAAGTATAGCTTAGTTTGTCATTGTACCTCTACTTCAATACCCATTACTCCACACTGAGATCATTTCAATGTACAGCTTCCTCGCATGAATCGATTTCCAGCAGACAATAGTGTCTTAGTACTGGACAATGCCTCAATTCATCGTGGTGGATCAATTGCTGAGCTCTGTCGTAAGAAAGGTGTGTCTGATCTCATCATCTTTCCTCTGTCGTGTTTCCAAATCGCTAATTCGAGCGGGACAATTTCAACTTTAGGTATTCTTCTTCGTTACTTACCACCATACTGTCCTGAGTTGAATCCGATTGAACTTGGATTCAACGCCTTCAAATTTGACCTTCGACGATCACAAGTACTGGCTACCAGGACTAATCCGATTGGACCAATACGAAGGGCTGCTCATAAGACATTTGGCCCCAAATTATTACCTAAGTTGTACCACCATTGTGGTTATCGCACATTCGATGAAGTCCTCGATCGTAGAATGGGTCACATATGACTGATTTCGGCCAATGAGGTATTTGCATTATCCTATCTGTAGTTTTTGAGTTTCTTGGCTCATCTATTCAATTTCTTTCAAATCATCAAAATCAATCTTATCAATCTTTTCTTCGAGCGATTCGTTCTCAAGCGTCTTCGGTGCAACTAAACTTCAAATCGATCAGCATCAGACCAACAAGTTGAAGATTACATCTCTTCTACATCTCCCAATCAAATCGAGTCCACCCAAAGTCTTCAAATCCTCAACTTATCAAATCAAATCAAATCGGATATTCAGTTTCAAATCATCATTCAATACAAGAAACTATAGAACCAAATCAGATTGATTCAATGGATGAATAATCAATCCTTCATTATCAAATCATCATTCAAAACAAGAAACTACATATCAAACCAAATCAGATTGATTCATTTGATAGATCTAGATCAAATCAGTTTTTCATTATCAATCATCATTTAATTCAAGAAACTACTGAACGGAATTAGATAGATCCAATGGGTAGATTTAGTTTTATTTATAATTCTTGTAATAGAAGGATGATGGTCTTCTGGAGGAGACGATCGATTGAAATCTAAGATGAACTGTTCTCTGTTTCGGCTGAGCCCGAATATACATAAGAGACAAGATTAGGTGGATCTTGAGATGATCAAATGGGCCACGAGCACCATGTCACTCTTAAATCGATCGATCCTAGGAGATTCAAATGGTCTAAAAACACACTTCCTTGTTTTGTTGAGTGTGATGTAAGAAAGATAAGATTGAGCTAAAAAGTTCCCTCGATCCTGGGACAAACAAAAGACACATTGTGTCAAACCCAGAGCGAATCTCCATGTCTCCAATTCATCGAGATCCGGCTTAATCTGACGCTCGATCATCTGAGGCTACTGGGCTTTGGGAGGGGATCAGATCGACCAGGATCGAGCTAAAGTGTTAGCTCGATCTTACTCTAGACAAAAGACACTCCATTTCTACGCCAGGGGGGCGATCTGTGTCTTCAAAAATCTCGAGCTTAGTTTGAAGCTCGATCATGCAAACTGACCTTACTTTGTATGGAAGGGGCACAGTACCATAATTCTTAATAAACATCATGATTGTATTTCTTTTCAAAGTTTAAATTTGATATACCCACTGATAACAATGATGGGGGGTTAAAATCCGCATAAGGCAGCATAGAGCGATCAGTTAACAAATGTTTTTGCCTGGATTTCCGAGCGGAATAGAGCGAGCAGTTAAAAAATTGAAGTTCGCCTTCATTTTGGAGCAGCCCTTCTTTCACGCTTCATATTACTTATATGCTTATGAGCATCTCCATACAGCATAGTTATTGAAGCCTTAGACAATCCCTGTTGAGCTAGATCTTCTCGAGATAAGTGTGTCTCTGTGATCATTCTATGGTCGGTAATTTCTGCATCTTTTAAGATCTTGCGAAGGTGCTGCTTTCTGTCATCTGGTAATGTGCAGAACTTGAGGAATCCTTATGTTCCATTTTCAGCAAAGGGATCATATGCAAAAGGAGGTGATGACGACACATGAGTAGAATCTTCAGGTGTATTCTTTCGTTTACGAGGAGTGCATGGGGTAATTGGTGGTTCGACATCGCCAGCTGGTTGCTTTTGAGGTGATCGTACTGCTTCCCCGATGGCCCCTGCGAGTCCGACCACGAGTTGAGTTATAGCGGCAGGGGTGAAGCTGTTAACATCAGGAGTTTCACTCGATGAAGTGAGAGTTTCGTTTTTGGCTTTCTTGCTGAGGTCGTATTTGAAATGGGCGGGAGGAGTATCTATGTCAACCTCATCTTTGTGCTGGCCAATGAAACACCTAAACGTCAGCTTACATAGATAATAAACAATGGTGTTGGGCTCACTCGTAGCTTAGCCCAGTCTTCTGCTTTTTCAAGCGTCAAAACAAAGTAACGAGTCGAATCGGTTGGATCTGTCACAATCGGACACCTTTTGTGGTAGCGGCCATCCATCTTGTGGTGGTCAAGAAGGTCACTTGCAAACTGGTTCTCCCGATCGCCAGCGGTTTGTTGTGTGTCGTCTGATCCACGTTCGGACTTGGGTTGGAGATCATATAAAAAGACATCAGTCCAGTTTGATGACAAGGGTTAGAAGACAGACAATCTCACCTCTTTGGTGTCAAACAAATCCCTATCAATTCCTTTTTTCACCTGAAGCTTGTGCATGCGCTCAGCTGAAGCAGCAATTTTCTCAGTGCGAGCAGCCTGAAGAAATTCAAAAACAAATGAGACATGTGGTGATCACCTGGCTTGATCAGATGGGACGGACTCACTTTTTCAGCTTGAGCTTTGACCTTGTTTGGATGAGGTGCAACATAGGTGATCCTAGACTCCCGACCGGGAAACACAGCATTGCCTTCTTCAACCCATTGTTGGACCTTGGCTTCGCTTAACTGCTTTCGAGCCTTCAAAGTCTTTGGGAAATCAGGATGTGATTTGATATACCAAGTCCACACACCAGGATTCTTCTTGCTGTTTGATGAAAGCTTGATCAATCTTTCAAGTGACTGCTTATCGTCCTTGGCAAATTCAGCACACTTTGCTTTGAGTTTCTCCAAATCAAATTGATCCGCCCTCCAAGGAACCACACAGTCAGAGCAAGAGATCTGTGAAAACCCTGACTTGACCGTCTTGCAAGGAACCCAAAATTCACAGTCAAAGTTGAAGGTATATTCGGTGTCGTCTTGATTGTCTTGTTCATTGTTGATACTTGGTTGAGGGCTCTGTAAGATGTGGAATAGACAAAGGTGAGTATATTGGATAATATACACAATAGGTGAATAGCTTGAAAACATCACCTGAGCAGTATCAGATTCCGGGGAATCAACATTGACACCTTCATTGACCAATGGATTGGATGGGGAAGAATAATCAAGAAAGATTGGGTTGACGTGCTGGTGCTTTGATTTCATATTTCAAGAGTGCTGAAAAAGATTAGGTAGGATGGATTCGTGAATATGTGGACAGTAGTAACCCACCCAAGAGGATCATCTGGACTGCGGATGCTCAGCTTCCACACCCACCGCAGTGACTGCGGCGAAATTCTGGGCTACATTTGTTTTTATTTTATTTCAACCCGGGCTTCCTTTTTAGCAAAAGTAATAGATGTGACTGGGAGCGAGATTGGATGCATACACCACGGATAGGTTCGGTGTCAGAAAAACGCCCCAAGACCGTCGGAGTCTTAAAAAGGCCGAGGCCCCGGCCTCGGGCCATAAGTAGGCGGCCCCCCGACTATCCATGCAAATTTCAGGCGGCCCAAATACCAACACCACATAGGTCATATGTTGGCCGCCCAAAGTGGTCTCCTTCCCGCCATACACCGCCTACAGATCGCCCAAACTCAGGCCGCCTGACGGCGATCACAAACCACCAAGAGACGGACGTCATCCAGGTTTAGACCGCCCGAGCACTTACTTGGACGCCTTTCACCGCATCACACGATTTCAACACATCACCGCAACTCACCCGTTATCATACCACTCCATCAAGTCCAAGCCAATCAGTACGCATCCACACGTCTCAATGGCCGAACCCCCGAGCCAACTGTCGATACCAGAATGTGAGTTATTTTGCATAACTCACTCAATGATGTATTTGCTTTTCCTAATCCCATTCCGATGACCCAGCAGATATAATTTTGCATTCCGATGACCCAGCAGACCCACAACTTCGATGTTCAGCATGCAATAGCCGTACCCTTAGCGATTACCAAAGTCACCTTCGCACGCCTGCACATCGACAATCTGTTCAATGTTTGCTTGAGCGTGAGGCGGCCGATGAAGTGATGCTCCAGGCCATCCGAGCAACACAAGAGGATAGCCCGAGAGAAACTCCCACCCTCGACTTGGCTCAATACACACAACATCAATCTGACACCCCCCCGGCGGAATCACCTGAATCACCCCTCACTCCGCTCTCTTATCTACGGAACCTGGACCCCAACGGCCGATTGGACGATGATGCTTCCAGCACTGGAGACTCTGACCACGCTCTGGATGTCCTTCAGCTCCGCCAAGCGTTAGAAGCCATGGAGCACGTTGGGGTAAGCCCTGAAGACGACGATGAGGACATGTTACCCAACGAAATGGACCTAGACGACGCCTTTGACGACGATGACAGCCCTGATACAAATGGGTGGTACCCGTTCAAGTCCAAAGAGGTGAGCCAACTTGCCCTTTCAAAATCACATCAGCTTGGTCTTGACATCCGTTTCTTCCTATCATCACACAGCAAATAATTGCCTTGCTCATCATTGGTTCAACGCGAAGCCTTCTATCCCGCCTCCAATACCAGCGAATCCGGTCAATATTACGAGTATGCGATGTGAACTTGCCTGCCTGGGGATCCCTGCGTGGGTTAAGCAACCGACTAAACAAGAAAATGGGACTCGAAATCACCGCGCGTGAAAGCGCTGCAGGTCACCCTCTGTTTGGTCTGAAGGTGAAGACTATCATACAAAGCGTAAGACGTGGATTGTTCTTTCATTAAGACATTGATTGTTCTTTCTTTACACACCAGGACTAATATGAAATGTGCTTGCGATTGTAGGAGCTAGCTAATCCAATTGTCAGCCAAAATCTTGTCTTCCTACCGGAGCTTCCTGTTAACACGCCCATCAACCGTCTATCCCAGTCCCAAAAATGGCGGGAGCTCTACCCACCAGAACTCCGGGTGCAAATGGTGGTTTCTAAAAGCATCCACTATTATATATACGAGCCGGTCCAGGTGGTATCAGGTCAATTGGTGGTGCCGATTTTTTTTTATAAGCAGGCAGAAGACATCATGGCGAAGTGTCTCCGGGCTGTTGTCGAACCGGCTCAACAGTTTCAGTCAGGCTTCAACATCTTCATTGATGGCGAACCCGCTTTCAATTCATCTGACCTTTTAAGTATCAACGTCAACACTTTCTGGAGATTATTAGAAGATGTCAGATTGGACAACACTGAACGCCTGAGGGATCTATGTGGCAATCATATGTATCGTGAGTGATCACAGTCAGAGTGGCAAAGTTCTACACTGGCTAAAATCTTCCTTTTCTATCTAGAGCATACGTCTGGGGGAATCGAAACGGTGCCGATGGTCAATCCTTGGAGGATCAAAGCCAATGGCAAAATAATACGACATGTACCCCTCACTTTATACTCCGACGATACTTCAGGAAACGTCTCGAAAAAATACAACAAGCACATGAGTATCTATTTCACCCTCTCTGGTTTGCCACCCAATTGGTCAAACCAAGAGTATAACACTCATTTCCTGGCCATGACCAATTGCGCTTCGGCCCTGGAATTGTTCGACCAGGTCGTAGACGATATCAAGTAAGGGATCTGGCCTGCTCCACTCACCCGAGTAGACCTTTATTGACTCTGCCCAACAGTGTTTTGGGCCTCCAAGGTTTTACAGCTTTCGATCACTCTCTTGGCGAAGACGTCTGCGCAATGGCTGTCGTCCTTTGCCACCTTGGAGACTCTCCCATGCATGCCGAGATATGCAACACCACCAACCCGGCAAACACGCTAACTCCGTGCCGCCTCTGTGACCTCAAAGTGGATCGTCAGGTGGAAAAACAATCCGAAGGTTTTGTGCGGGATTTTTTGGGTCTGGACCAACACGGCGAAAAGGTGAGTGGCCTTCCATGTTGACTTATTTCACGTTCAAAAAGGTAGACGTTGACCAGCCCAGTTCGACAGGCCGCTTTAGCCCTTCGTGATTGGAATGTCACACGTGCACGTACTCGCGAAATTTGGCGAACAGCTCAAAGGCGTAACAGCAAGAAAGCGGTGGACGACTTGGCACGCCAATATGGATTGCGAGATACCCTGAATGATTACTTCATTCATCTAGTTCAGACAGCTCAGGATAATCTAAACGCGGCTCAGGTAGACGTGCTTTGCGCCAACCTCAAACACGAATGGGGTGATAGACTCTTCAACCCAATGCTGAGGCTGGCTGGTGGGTTTTCAATCATTTCGCACGGTCATGTCTACTGCTGACGTGGTCCCTTCCTGCCAGGATTCAACGGGCATCTCGACACGCCGGTCGAGATCCTTCACGTGGTTCTCCTGGGCGTGGTGAAGTATCCGTACCGCGACACGATGAAGAGCATCAAACCTGGCAAAGCTGGGGCCCAAAAGCACGCGAAGATGTCGGCGCGCTGGCGCTCTTTCAAATCAAAAGGGCTGAATATACCTCCTATCCAGCCGAACACGTTAATCCAGTTCTTTCAAAGCCTGGTAGGGAAGGAGTTCCGGACTGTCCTACAAACCGTCCCGTTTGTCATCTACAAGCATGTGAACGAAGAGGTGCGACATCTGTGGACGGCACTGTGCGCCTTGGGCTCCTACGTCTTTCAAACTGAGATCTCCGACGTGGACACCTATCTGAAGGAGCTGGATACCGCTGTGGACGTCTTCCTGAATCAACTGATCAAAATCACGGCTCAGTGGGTCAATAAGCCCAAGTTTCATATGCTGATACATCTCAAATACTCTATCCGAAGGTTTGGTCCGCCTGCGCTGGTGGCCACCGAAAAATTTGAATCCTTTAACGGAAAAACACGCGACGCCTCCATACATTCAAACAAGCAAGCCCCTGGTCACGACATTGCGACGACTTTCCTCACGGCGTTGATGCTCCGCATCTTACTTTCAGGAGGTTCTTTTTTTGATCATGAACTACAGGCACGCGTGGTAGCGGGGGCGAATGTGCAATCCCTTTTCTCTCAAATACCTGAATTGGCTCAGGCATTGGGCCTGAACATGGGGGTCGATAACATTCGCTTGCACACGGACAGCGGTGAGTCTACGCACCGCAGGCCGTCATGCTTGCAAGTCACTCATCACATTCCTCGAACGTTATTTGGTCAAACGGTTTCGGCAACAGGAGCGAAGTCGAAACAGGGGGATCTGCCCAATTGTTTAAGACAATTAGCGTTGGAAGTGTGGTTGCAAGAATTGGATCACGTCACTTTACCATCACGCCATAAGATTGAAAAGGATGACTTCGTCGTGGTATGTCTTCCGCTTTCGTGTCGTAGAGGTGGAATTCTGAGTGGGCGTGGCGATTTTGCTCGGACCAGGTCAGTCGAGATGGAATAATCGGCCAGGTGGTGTCAATCTGGAAGCCTGTCAATGAGGCATCCTCGAAATCCATTCTGGTACTCGCCAAATGCAACAAGGGGCGAATAGTCCCGTTCTACGGCATGCGGGAATTTGTGATATTGAACAGCACATTTCCATGTGACATCAAGGTAAGCAATCACATCGATATCATTGTACTCTGCCAGTGCAATGAATTAACCGCCTCTTCTTTCGGCCCGTCAGCTAGTCGAGTGTTTGGTCAATATGCAGCACAATTGCTCCGGTGGCCAATGCTCAGTTACGTTAACCCAAACCAAGAAGGTGGAACGTAAAGAGTCAAAGATTTCAGTCCCGACGATCAAACACACGCCTCACAACTCATACATATTGAATTACGCGGCCCACTACTCAGCGGAAATACATCGAAAATTATCTGATATACATGTCACCAACATCTTGCCTGGCCAATGGAACGAAACCATCTCAACGGGGATCACGAAGTGGAAGGCCACCCCACGCCCTGTTTGCAAAAATAAAGGTAAAGCGGCGGAACCGGATTCACCTTGAAATCGGATCTTCCGGTCCTTCCTGTGGCGTTTGTTAAGCAAGGAGTGTGCGGATTGTCTTGGAGTGTTAGGGTGTCCTAAATAAGTTTCTTTTTCCATACTTCTTGGTATTAGCGTACTATTACGTTTTGTATTCGCGTACTATGAGTTGTACTATGTCCAAAAGTTCCGAGTAAATGTGCAATATGGCCATCTAAAACCTTTTGAACATCTCAGATGTTCCCAGGGGCCCTTCGTACCCAGGTCATGGTTCTAATGGGCCTGGGCAGTGACTGCTTACCTCGCGGTTTAGTCGCAGACCATCCAAAGAATCAAAAAATTCTTTGGAACGGGAAATGAAGGTATAGGAATAATGACCTTTGGTAAACACTGCCAAAGGTCACCAATCATCTTTGGTTGTAGTAATCCAACTATTATTCGCTGACTCCGCCAAATTATAACATCGATATTGGCGGACGCCTTGGTTGATCAGAAATACATCACTTATTGCTGCAGTGTATGAACCATGATATCGCTTGCGTGTGATAATCACGATATCAAGAGGCCCTTTGATATTATGGGAGCCAAAATATTCTCTATTCGCCGTCTGTTCATATGCGACGAATAGAGAATAGATCATACCCCATCACGCGTTTAACTATCAAATCATGCCGAAACGAACGACGCCAGAGGGCGAGCGGGATTCTTCCAGCGAGCCTGACGCGAAAGAACTCAAACTTATCACGTCAGACTCACCGGATCATAACAGCGAAGCATACGATTGGGACTTATTCCCTAAAGACACTTTGGTGGATAATGACTTTCGCCGTCTCATCAGCGTCATGTTCGGTTATAATTGCACCATTCGCCAGGCGCAAAGGAAGGGCGATGGCCAGATCGTGGCTATCAAGTGTCATTACAAATGGAACTGCGAGGGGACCAGCCACTTTCCAACCGTCAAAGCGAGGCTGGGTATCGTGGAACAGCTTCACCATCCAGGGCTGGTGGCTTTCCTCGGGCATTACCAAGATTCGAACACCTTGGACTTCGTGTTTGCATATGATCAAGACACCCCCACTCTAGGGGACCTTCTAACTCAGAGGAACCTTTCCGAAGACGAAACCGCTTATTATACGTTACAAATCGCCGCGGCTTTAGACCACATTCAGTCGAAGGGTGCGGTACTCCGCAATCTCGATGATTTCGGAGTGTTATGTTTCAAAGATTACCGCATCAAACTGTATGATTTCGACTCCTTGTGCTTGCTCGATGCCGATGGAACTGCGCAAGGTGAACACGGGATGGATTCCATAGACCGAGCCCCAGAGATGATTGAGGGCGGCCGCTATGGTACTTCGGTGGACTGGTGGTCCCTAGGCATTCTCGTGTATTACATGATAACCTATCGCAAACCATTCCATGAAAGTCAGTGTTTGACTACGGAATGACTGTCAGTCCTTAACATTGCGCTCACCAGGTTTCCCTCACGCAGGTTTGCATCGTAGTTGCAAAGGCAACCCGGTTCTGACAGCAAATGTCAGACTGCCCAAGTTCTTGACGGACGATATGCGCGAACTCATTACAAAGTTGCTGAACAAATCACCCGGTGATCGGTTATCATCATTGTCTGAACTCAAATCTCTCCCGATTTATAACAACATGTGGCCATCAAGAACTCCAAACGACAAGTTTTGGAGATAGGTCGCGATCTTGGATTGACTTCGACTTGGAAGCCAGCTAATTGCGCAAAGAAGGTAAGCCCGTATGTTTCTTTGCATTTAACGTGGCTCACACACAACTTTTGGGCCATGTCTTATACTAACCACCTTTGATAACTTTTTCATTGAACGGAGCAGGCCCATATGAAATAGGGAAATGGATATACAATGGTGGTATCTACATGTTAAGGGACCACAAACCCGTTTGTAATTATAGCTCTGCCAAACTCATCCTTTCGCAATGTACAAGATGGTGGTAATATCCTTCCGCGCGTAACATGATTTTGGCAGCGACACCGTACGGTACTCCCCAAAGGCTCATTTGCTGAGGCGAGATGAGATCAGGGAACAAAAAGATATGGAAACTGTGAATCTCTTGCCCACTGAAGATCCTGAGCACTCGGTTTGTATTTTGTACCGACAAGTCCGCATACGACAAAAAGTGCCTAAGTGTATGTCTGCCTATGAACCGGGAAACGTTGGCGTAGGTAATTTGAGTTCGACGGCGTCCTTGCAGTTGGTAATCACCTGGTGGGGTCCGCGTTCAAAGGGCGTTCATTGACCGCCGTGAATCACCAGAGGAATGGTCAGACACTCACCTGGCTGACCGTCCGAGCCCAGTAATTCGCTGAGGTCGCCGCTGGACCCACTATTGCGAGGAACGGTGGGGATCTCCGGCGAACCCAAGTCAGGAGAAAATCCTTGGCCGTTGTGACCACTCGTCGAGTTGGCCAACGGCGAACCTAAATTGGGTTGGCCACTTTCCATGAGCGGCCGAGGTGAACCAAGGGGGTCCACGACACACCTGAACAGACAAGTCAGAAGATCCAGATCGTCCCCAGGCTGTATGTTAAGCAGACTCACGTATTGGGAGTTGCTGGGGTCGGATTATTCATTGCCGAATGATTTAGTGAGGGACTGTGGGAGCCGTTTTGATGATGTCGAGAAGGACTGGTTTAAAAGGAGAAGGTGAATAGCGCGAAGTCCACACTAATGCATGAATAAAAAACAAACTGCCATTGACCTCGACCCTAAACTCGTCTGAGAGTGGATTAGGTCAACAATCCATGATGGCCCCATGATTTGCCTTTGGGGCACGACAAGGCCAACTTACACACCAAGTATGGCACCTCCTCAATCGCAACCCTTTGGTGAGCCTTCCTCGCGCAAACTTCAAATTGCATCCTAATGCCTTCTATCCAATTAGGTAATCTCCTGAACCCCCAGCCGGGTGGGTTCCAGGCGCCCGGAGATCATCAAACGCCGGCCATGTCGACGAACCTACGCGGCCTGAACAACCACGCGGATTTGGTCACACCTCAGAGTAAGAAACGGCCTTGCGGAGGCCGGATGTATGCGAGGCCAGTGTACTAATCAGGGACGTTGAATGTTCCAGATGGGCCTCGCACTGGTACCCCACGCAGTTTGATCCGCAGTGCCAGTCGGGAAACCCTGGCCTCCGTTGGCACTCGACCTCGCCCAAAGGTCAAAGCTAAGACCACTTTGGCTGCCAAACCATCCGCTGAACACGTCAGCTCACCTCGTGGCCCGTCGAAGAAGCGGCAACGTTCTCAATCACCTACTCAAGCACCGGCCGGGGGATCAGCATCCACCTCTCAGCAGAGCTCAATTCCCCATGACTCGCGTCCCGAAAGCCAGTTTATCTCTGGGGTCCCTGCCCAGCTCAGCCGAGACCTGACTCGCCAGGAAGCTGAATACCTGGCGGAATTGACGGAATCTTTCGATGACAAGCATCGGCAGTATGCGCGTGATCTGTCTGAGGTCAGAAATCGGCCTTGCTAACCACGCCTGAGCGAGGCTGAGGTTGGTTGACGTTGTTTTAACATATAAATTTTATAACATTGGACAGATCGTGGGTGAAAACCATCGACATTTGGCGCGATCAGCTGATTCTGCCAGGGCGCAGTACTACATAACCCAAACTGCTGATAAGGTGGACTCCCTGGTGAATCTCTTTGAAGACCAGATTTGAGCAGTTCACGATGATCTCTCCACCAAGATCAATCTTCTGTCTGAAAACCTGCGTGATCTCACCGAGGCCATACGAACGGGCGCCTTGGCGGTACGCCACAGTGAGGCTCCTCCTGCGGTTCCTGCTCGCAAGGCATCAAACGGCGAACCTCCTAAAAGGAAGAAATGGGTAATTTCGAAGGAACTTAGAGTGAGTCGTGGATGCAATCAGCGTGGACCAGAGAACTGATATGCTATTACGCACCATTCAATAGGCCCTGGTCACCGCCCTGTCAGTTGAATTGTTACCAGAGTCCAATCTGCAGGCCTACACCGCGATTGAGGACGGTGCAAAGAACTACCTTCCGAGGTCGCTTTTCAATACCATCAGGGCGAGTGATGCAATCATCACATTGGCTCCTCACAGCGTGCTGATTCCTTTGTTTCGTTTCGATGTTCTAGCTGCGGGTAGCGAAGCAAGATGCCGCCTGGTTAGCTCAACACCTTCCAGGTAAAATCCGCGGGGTGAACAACGCCGAGGGTATACGAAATTACTGTACGGCAATCAAGGAAGCCTGTAAGCACTCACGCAAGAAGTTGCACCTGTTGGTGAGTCGTCCTGCATACGTATTGTCATTTGATATAGAGGCTGAGGTCAGCACTTTCCTTCCCAGCTCTTAACAAACATTCAAAGTCAGAAGAGCGGAACCGTCAAGGTCGTGGCGGTTCCTAGTTTACAGGCTTTGTGGTATCGAGTGGTAATCAAATGCGGCATCATTGAAGAATCAGTGGATGCGAAGACTGCATGGGCAGCGGCGGACGGACCAGCACGAAGCCAACTCGCATATCTTCGAAGGGAGGCTGCCCGCCTGCGTAAGACTCCTTCAAACACTAACATTTGGTGTGAAGTGGACCGTCAGCTGGACCACCTGCGCAAAATGGATCAAGAACATCCTGACTTTTTGTCATTGTAAGTACTTGACTTCCGCTTATACGGGTGCTAAATAGCATGATTGGGCTGATGTTCGTTGCTTTTGCAACAGGTTTTATGACTATATATATCAAAATGACC